AATTTCCAAAAATTAGATGCAGATTCTACTTCTCCACTTCTTACCTTTATAAGAGTGCCAGTGATATGGCTCTGGAAGGCCTACTGCCAGAATAGGACATTAGGATGTATAAGGGTTAATCATCAACCATAATGACAGTAATAACATCTCACTTTCTATGATCAAGTAAAAATTAGTGACCATCCATGGAAATAGTAGATGATTGATAGATATCAGTAGAGAGACAGTAGATTGAGCTTCACAGTCAATTCTGAATGTTTTTTCTAAAAGACTATGCAATGACTAACAGATTCAAATGTCTTGAGGTTGTTTTGGCCTACATTTTAACTTGCTATGGCATAACAAGAGGTAGCAAAAGTGGTAACACTTTCTTTCACCTTCCTTTTTAAGTTTCAAGACAGCTGAACTACATTACACTAGAATGCCCAGATCATTCTAGTTGTTAACTGGGTGAATGTGTGGTTCAAACTCTGAAGTACTGTGTAATTATTTGGTGTAAAAATTATAGAAGGTAACCAGACAGTCTTACAAAGTTTGACAGTAATGCCACATGTTTCAGCAACAAAGTAAATCAGAAAAAGTACTAGGTAATTCTATGGGGTAAAAAAGCAGTAGAAAGACACCTGAAGACATCAAATCAAATCAAATCAAATCAAATCAAATTAGAGTCTTAGAGTCTTATATAGCATGTAATTGTCTAATACTATTTTTAGGGATCAGAGAAAGTAATTGGACAGTTGGCTGCTCAGCTGTACACCATGGCCAGGTGTGTTATTCCCTCATTATTTCACTTAGAAGTAATCAGATAAAAGATGTAGAACTGATTTTTTTTAAGTGTGGCATTCGCATTTGGAATCTGTTGCTGTTAACTCTCAATATGAGAGCTGTCGCTGCCAGCGAAGCGAGCCATCTTTAGGTTGAAAAATCAAAACAAATCCTTCAGAGAGATAGCAAGAACCTTGTGGCTAAATCAACAATTTGGTACATTCATAAAAAAAGGAAAGCACTGGTGAGCTCAGAAACACCATACAGCTTAGAAGACCATGGTAAACAATGTAGATGACAGAAGAATTCGTTCCCTGGTAAAGAAAAAACCCTTGACAGCAGCTGGTCAGATGTAGAGCAACCTTCAGGAGGTTGTGTGTCAAAGCCAACAATCAAAAGAAGACTTCCCCAGAGTAAATACAGAGGGTTTATCACATAATGTGAACTACTGGTAAGTCTCAGATACAGGAAGATCAGATAAGAGTTTGCCAAAAAACAACCAAAAAAATCATATATGATTCTGAAATATCTTATGGAGAGATGAGACAAAGATCAGCTTGTACCAGAATGATGGGAAGAGAAGAGTATGGAGATGGGAAGTAGCTGCTCATGATCCACAGCATACCACCTCATCTGTCAAGCATGGTGGAGGTAGTGTTATGGTGTGGACATGTATAATGGAACCGCTTCCCTTGTATATATTATTGATCTGACTGTTGGCAAAAGCAGCCAAATGAAGTCTGAAGTGTAAATCTGCTCAGATTTAGCAAAATGCTTCAGAACTTACTGGACAGCGATTCACAGTGCAGATAGACTATGACATTCTGCAGAAGCAACCGAAGACTTTTTTTAAGACAAAGAAGTAGCATTTCTGCAATGGCCAAGTCAATCATCTGACCTCAGTCCGATCAAGCTTGCATTTCACTGAAGGCACAATGAAGGTAAAACGCTCCAAGAACAAACAGGAACTGAAGACCTGGAAGAGCATCACCTGGCATCTGGTGATGTTTGTTGGTTGCAAACTTCAGTCGACTGCAAAGGATGTGCAACCAAGTATTAAAAATGACTTTAATTTATGATTGTTAGTTTATCCAGTTGCTTATGAGCCCCTAAAAATGTGGGAGCTTTGTATGAAATCACCTACCTACCTATTCTAGCTCTCTCTAATCCAGGGTGTCTTTTCCACAGAGCCAGGGGAGGTTATATGATGAGCTCCCAAACACAGCTGACTATGTGAGTTATCGTCTGGCATGTAATAAAGATGACTACATGGAGCAGCACTCTCCGCCTATCCAGCCACCGCTCACCTTTCTGCCCCAGAACCCCTATACCCAACACGGCACTCAGACCAGCACCTTCACCTACCCCACGCCACCCGGCCCCATCTCCTCATACACCTTCCCTAAGGAGCAGTACGTATAAACATGCAGACCTCTCTCTCTTTACCTCCACTCTCACTCTCTGCAGTGTATGTATTTGTTATAACTAATGATATGTTATATATGTTTTTTTTTTGTTTGTTTGTTTTTTTTTACCTAAGTTGGGTACATTGTTATGTGTGAAAAATGACAAATAGCATTTGGATGACATTTCGCTGTCTGTATGTGACTGGACTGTTTTGCATGCTGTTATTATTTACATAACAGTACAATATTAAAAGTGTGTATTTACATTTAGAGATGGCCATCTTCACAGTGCATTCAAATAATAAACCATTTTGCATAATAGGTTTATGCCAGTCTTTTTTACTATTATTTTTATTGTTTAGTTTAGTGTGGATTTTGTATTTCACTACATTCAAACAAAATGAAAATGATTGTATGAAAAAGTGACATTTTAAACCAGCACTTGCATTACTGCTTTAAGACTCTATATTATGTATTACAGTTTTTATCATTGCAATGTCTTACCATGTTTTTCTGAATCTACAAAGTGTACATTCTGTATATATGTGTTTTATTTTATATGAACAGTTCAGTATGTGAGGAGAAGTTCTAATGTAAAATTACACTCCTCCTTTAAACCATTATTTGTCCTCTATATCTGTTTACATTATGCTACATTCATAGTAAAACTTTCTTGTCACCAAATGTGTTTTTTTATCTACATTATAGGGAATAAAGATTATATACATGCTGAGGATAAAGGCATGTTTGTATTATATTTTACCATTACAAACTGTAGTTTTAAGATAAATGACATTATAACATTTCCAAATTCAGATTTTTCTTATCTAAGACTCTATCACATAGAGTTCTTATCAGACTTTACCACATAAGAAAAGTTGTTTATTTAAGAATCAGTATTGATCAAAATGGTGGTAGAAGCTTATAATGCTAATGTCTGTTGTATTAGCAGTAGAGGAGGTAGTGTATGCACACTGAATCTGTTTCACTATAACTGTTTGTGTTCATTATAAATGTATTCTTGTGTCTTTATAAATAAATGCACAAATATTACGTATGTCTTCTGTGACTCGTCACTCAGACATTATGCAAAAGAACCTTGTTTTTTGGTCAGTGTAATCCTCTGTAATATAGCCCAGCACATTATAATCCGGATGTAATTAAATTTTAGATGTAAGATCTGATTATACAGTATTTCATTAAGCCTATTTTCAGTAATCACATAATGCATCTGACACAGTGCAACACCTGGCATGACAGCTCATGGTATGTCAGCACTCTATGTCCTGTTCTATATGTGGTAATATACAGTAAGGGCAATATGAAAATATTTCATCATTACTGTGGTAAATTACGTCACAATACGCTTCACTGAGCATATTGTGGAAATTATCTGTCCTTCAAGAACACTGACTAACTACACGTATAAAGAGAGTTATGCCTGAAAGTTAGGCCTGTTTAATTGAATTTAGTGCAGTGCAGTTTGTAAAACGTAATAAAATTTCTAAATATCTAATAACTAAATATCACAATGCATATCATGAAAATGTCTTGATGTATCGTGGTGTAACCCCTTAAATGGCCAGGCCCTGCCCACAGGCCCAAAGTTGTATTACACACTTCTACAACCTAAGAACCAGTTTGCATTGAAGTCCCTGTAGTTACTGAATTATAACCCTTATTATGCAATAAGCCACACAGCATTATGGGATATGACAGTTAAAAAGGTGTAAACATTTTAATAAAAACAATGTGTTTTTATTCTGATAATTCATGTTAATATGATACAGTAAATCACTGTGAAAGTAATGCAACTAGTAGCCAGTAATTTACTGTAATTTTACAGTAAATGTTTTACAGCATAGGTAAAAGTGCCAACCAACCCCACTCATAGTTGGACACAATAATCCAGCTAGCGTTGCTTTTCACAAGCTTTGAAAATGTTGTCAAGATGTAGATGATTTACATTTCTTTAAAAAATATACAGTATTTTTAATGTCTCTTTCTGAAACATTTATTTGTATTTTTTCAGGAAGAAAGTGTTTGTTTTCTTGTTACCCCCACCTCAGCAGACTGTTACTTTCAGAAGTCTTGACAGAATAGTTGAAGAGGTGAAGTAGGTCAAGAGGGGAAACACTCTAATGCAATTGGGACTGCACTTTCTTATTCAATTAACACTGTACCAACCAGTCCCTGACAGTGTTGTAGCTTTCAACCTAATGCTTTGATGCTGTAGTTTACCATAATATGTATTACCATGTATTACATACTATGTATTACTGAATTTGTATTGGTGTGAGATAAGGGGTGTGATTGTTACGCAGTGGTGTAACATGAGAAACTCGTGACTGAATATTAAGTCTTACTTGGCTGAACACTATAATGCTGTTACTTGAAAATGAGTCTCTATCACTATAATACTGACCTCAACATGGAGAGAAAGATGGACATAGAAATTAACAGAGAACCAGTATTAATGCTATCTTCATTTACTGTATACTAATGATTTAAAACCTCCAATTGTACAAACACTAAGAACTGGGCCTACTGTGTGTGATGGAATGACACAAAAGCCATCTGCGCACACATCTTAAATAATGCATGATGCTTAGGTATCATCGTGTCATCCTAAACCCTGTCTCTCCTCTCTACTCTACTACATTCCTACAGGTGGAGGGGGTGACTGGTGAATAATTCAAGCCAAATCAGTTTACAGAGACTCGATCAGCTCCCACTCAGTTTCTCACTGCCTGTTTACACTAGCTGGACTCACTACTTGAACAGGACAGGATCTTTTCACAGTTTCTGCCAGTTTTTCCCATTGTGGACCTTTGTTGGACACTGAGCATCATGGAACCATGAAAAACAGACTATTAGGGTTGCATGATTTCTGCCTCATTGCATTTTTGCTTCCTCTCTTCCTGCAAGGTAAGAGGTCATACACGGTTTAAATTTCTTGCTGCATTTATGCTGAATGACATCTCCTATTACAGCTTTAATTTGGTGGTTACCCACTGTGTAAGTTCACAAATCAAGAATTGTGGCATATTTTGCTCAAAATATCTTTTTGACAATGTAATAATTTAATAGTAAATAACAATACGTGGAAAATATGACATTGACTCACCATTGTATGGCTCAGACACAGATTTGCTGTTTAACAGTGTTTGAACTTGAAGGAAAAGAATAACACTTTAAATGGCCTTGAGCTGCTGGCAGACCTATGTTTCCATTCCTCAGTCCTGTAACTTAAGAATAACTATGTAATTCCCATGTAATTACTGAACAATAGGTCTTAATTAGGAGTTAGGGTAAAAGAAACAACACTTTCTGTAAAGACAAGACTGACCTACCCAGCAACCAATTAGAAATCTAAAACAGATGAATTGATGCCTCATTAATCTGTCCCTGTTTTTGTGGCAAACATTTTTCACCCTAATCTGTAGAGTGTGGTTGATTACCAGAGACAATGACTTGAATGCTTTTCACTGTAGAATGAAACAGAAATCCTTGTCACACATTTATAACAGACTCCCTGGGACAGTTATTGAATTCTATGAGTAAATGTTTAAGTGAAAATCACATTGTTGTAGAACATTTTCATGAGTCCTTCATAGATTTTTACAGGTTAGTAAATTTAAAGGCTGAGCCACACCAAGTCAACAAGAATGAATTAGTGTTAGCTAAGGCTGACTGATGATTGTCCTTCGTCAGCTAACCTTCACCTCTCTTGTCCTGTAAAAAATGTGCTGGAACTGCAAAGACTACAGCTGACATCCGATACACATTTATTAAATGTGCTTGCATGAAAGGGAACATCTCTCTATAAGGAGGTGCCAACCAACCCCCGACAGTGGAGGTTAAGCACTTTGCCCAAAGGCACAACCGAGTATAATCGGTCAGTCCTGGGACTGGAACCCGCAACTTTTTGGTTGCTGGCTCACTGCTCCTATCGAGGCTACTGGCCACCCCAAAGTGTAAATTTGCACATTAAACAATAAAATAAAATGTGCATTTTGCAGATATTAATAATTATATGACACAAATATATATATATATATATATATATATATATATATATATATATATATATATATATTGTTATAACCAGGTTTATTCATAACCATGTTAGATATTTTCAGACATTCAAATAGCAAAAGTGATTCAATTACCAGGTTTGTAGTGGTAAAACTTTTTGAAAAATGGTATTGAAAAATGAGGCTGTTCTCTATGTGTGGCATTTTGCTTTTTGACTCTCTCTTCATGGACTGATTTGCAATTCTCTCACAACTGACCATGAGAAACTTGTACATTAACATGGTCGATCAAATTGCATTCAAAATGCTCAGTCAGCCAAAACAGCCCTGAGGAGGACCAACTACAACTAATGGTGTCAGACACACCACACAGAAAACAAACAACCGTCGATGCTCACCAACAGACCAACAGCATCCAACAGTGTGCTAGGTTTGAAGTTCTTTTCTAAGCACAAAGAAATGCACTAAATTTACTGTCAGTGGTAATAAATTACAGAATTTCTTCAAGAACTGTGTTTATATTACTGACCCTACACTGTCCTCTCAGGGCTAGAGATCTCTAATCCAGGGCAAGTGGTGTACAGGGAAGCCAGGACCAGTGTTGTGGTGGAACATGAAGCAACCCTGGAATGTGGCACCACCCTCCCTGATGTCTACATCTGGAGCTTCACTAAACCAGGCACAGACACTATTCGAGCTGTGGTGTATAACTTTGGCAAGGGTCCAAAGCTGCAGCAGCTGGCACAAGATCTAGGGGACCTGGATGTCATCACCAACAGCTCCTCTTTGTTCACTAAGAAACTTCTTGTAGCTGCAGAGGGCTTGTACACCTGCCAGGCTCTGTATGACACTGCTGAGGGAGCCAGACTCTACTACTACTATGTGCATCTACGGGTTCTAGGTCAGTAACATAAAGTGTCAGAACAATATCCTTCACATGGCAAAATAGACATTATCTCAACAATATTGCAAAACTTAAGTTTAGATAGCAGATGCATGTCATAGCCAGAAACTTAATTAACCAGTTACAGCATTAAAATGATCTTTTAGTCAAAGCAGAAATTATGATTAACATTTTGATTTCAAACTGATACAGATTTGGACATGGGTGCAAATTTGGTCTGAGAAGTGGTACCAACATCAAGAGGCTTTAGCCTGCAGATAGCAATTAACAGGAGTATTAATGTCATGTATTTTCTAATATATTCAGTATACAGGTTAAAGTTTATTGCCTGTTGCATATTTCTGTGCATTATTGCACTAGAAAGTCTCCATGCTGCTATAAATATTGCAACAAAATACTTTAATAATGATGAATGTGATGATATTGAGGTTATTCCACCGATCGCCGACAGCAAAACAAAACAACTCTGACAGATAGAAATTTCAGGGTGGCCAATCAGATTTCAAAGAAGGCACTGGCCATATCAGCTACCCCTTTAAAACTGCGCATGGGCTTTACTAACTACAACTAAATGAAACTACACTGTGTATTGGTTTTAATAAGACTTTTAAAATGTATAGGAACATCTATGAGCATCTGACAATTCTAAACAAAGTGATCTGTCTATTATCAAAGTAAAAATAGGCAGAAATGCATTCTCATATGAGGTAAGTGAATGGTCTGCTTCAGGTGGGGGAGCACAACATTAATCCCAGGTCCAACCCCCACCTGCCCCCCTAAATGTGCACCAGTGTTCACAGGATTTACAAAAAAGGCTTGGATATTTAACAAGATTTCAGGTCTTCTTAATCCTAACTTTCCTGTCAATTATAAACAGCTAGATTAGAATTGTATTAGCATCTATGTGTATTTTGAAGAGCTGCTCTATGTAATAAACTTTTATCAGTCAGTAAAGTTGCATGTTTAATCCTGTGATGTGCTCCACAGTGCCTGTGTACAAACCTTATGTTCTACTGAGTAGCTCGTCAGCAGTGGAGGGTTCATCATTTTGGATGCGCTGTGGTCTGGAGAATGGAACAGAGCCCATTAGCTACATATGGGAGCAGGAGAGCCGCAGTGGGCTGGTCACTACACTGGCTGAGAGCAACAGCAGTCTGATCAACATCATCTGGGTCACTCGCAACCACACCAGCTGGTACAGGTGCCTGGCCAGGAACGAGGTCAACCAGCAGCGCAGTGATCGTATCTGGTTAGATGTCTTATGTGAGTGAAGGGCTAATTAAGACTATTTGTCCAATTTCCACACATGACACATGGATTGTGTAATACTTGGAGTATTATAACTCTCTTAAAGTCAAAATTGTATTTGCCCATTATTGGATCGTTTTGTTAGTTGTTCCCTGGAATTTCACCTTGGTCAGTCTATTGCAAGTGAAGCAAATGAGATTCTGAGGGCAAGCCTCTTCTCTGAAATGTTTCCTTTTCTACTACGTGTAAAGAAGCTAAACCAACATTTAACAGTGTTAAACAATGATGATAGTGTTATAGAGCAGTGGTTCCTAACCTGGAGTTTGGACCCCCCCTGGTGTAGTCCTGGGGGGGTCGTGAGAGTGGTGCTATAAGACAAATACTTTATAAAAAACACAGAGAAAATAATTGTGACGAGTGCATACAAGCTCTGCTAAAGGGCTCCACCTAAAGGCCATGAAAGACAAGCTAATGTAGACTCTATTATATGCATTTCTATTGGGTTAGCTCCTAGCTGAGGGTGGGGGTCTTGATTGACCACTGAACTTGAAGCTTTTCTCTCAACGCCAGGCTCAGGATTTGTGGTTTGTGGCTAGTACTAGATAAGGAATGTAGGCCACAGTGAGTAGACTCAATATTTGGTTCTTCTGTAATTTTCTGTGTATACCGGTGCATGTGGGGCAGGGGGGCTGCAGGAGAGGTGGGTTGACAGAGAGGGGGTTACAAAATATTTTGGTTACACTATTTTGACACACCAACAACATGTCAGTAAAGTATCAGTAGTGCAGCATCTGAATACATTGAGGTAAATATCTTGATGTACTGTTGATACATTACTTACAGTAAGTAGATGTATTGTTGATATGTGCCCTGTGATAGACCCCCCTCCCCACATTGTGACCCAGGAGGTTAAGCATCTTAGATAATGTATGTGTGTGTGTGTGTATTTTGTTGAAATGTTAAATGAAGTAGACTTAATATGTTACTTTCATTACGCAAAACCTAACCTTGCCCAGCCTTACCCAAACCTAACCCTCACCCTGGCCCTAATCCTAACCTTTATTTTAACCAAAACCCAAAACCTAATCCTAACCTTAACTCTGGCCCTAATCCGAACCCTAACCATCCTATAACAGCTTGTTAAGGATGCTGAGATGGTCTGTATTATATCTGTTACATGTTCAGTGACCTCTCAGATTAAACATCTACAGATATGAATTGAGACACTCCAAATAAAGTGAAAAATAAATAAACAACATATAAACAAATTTTATCAATGCAATTAATTAAAAGTCTCTTGAGAATCTTCTAAATGTGTTCACGGCTGCTACATCACTGATGTGTTGTTGAGAGTCTGTTAAGTTAACACTTAATTTCATCTGAAGAGGACCTCTCAAAATAAAGTGTCATTAATATTTTTAACCGCAAAAAAGGTTAAGGACCCCTGTAATAGAGAATAAGGGATCTGCTCTCACAAACGCAAGGCAATAGAATTGTAGACCAATCTATATTAGCTGTGGGCTTTTTTCCCTAAGCCATTCAGGCTGGGAGCGCCAGGTCAAATGTCAAATGTTAAAATCAATACTTCCAAAAAGCACCAGCTCTTAACTGTTCACTCCTTTCGAGTAGTTAGATTTTGTTCACCTGCATATTTTAAGTTGAAGCATGCTTCTCCATCTTGTCACATTTTTCTGAACTGTAATGATATGCAATTCAAGTGTATCTTTATGCATGTTAATGTGGGTTTTCTCTATTTAGATGGTCCAGACCTACCTCAGGTTGATGTCACAGCTTACTCAGTTACAGAGAGAGGCTACTCAGCACTGGAGAGAGGAAATGTGTCTCTCACATGTCAAGCCTCCTCTAACCCTCCCAGTCAGTACGCTTGGTTATACAACAACATAGAGATCTACACTGGAGCACAGCTCACCATCACAAACATCCTGCGTGTACAAGCAGGTTACTACACCTGCCTGGCCCAGAACACTTACATCAACTCCCGCTCCAGAAAGACCATCACTCTCACCGTCTACTGTGAGTGCTTCACCATACAACTGCAGTCTACTTCACTAATGTAGCCATTTCATTCCACTAGTATTTTCACTTATATTACAATGTACAATATTACAATGCTGTGTCACAAAATCATTAAACATCATAATAAATAATGATCATATCATTACCTCAGATCATACCTGACAAAATCCCACAGAACTCCCTTTATTCATTCAAGTTTCATCTTTTTCAGTGTCAGGAAAAGCAGAAAACATATATTTAACAGAACAATACACAGAAGCCTTAACCATTAAATATAATATCAAGTCCACCTGTTGCCTTTAGAAATCTGTAGATATGTTTCCACACCTCCAAAGTTCAGTCTTAGAAGTTGGTTACATTTTCTTCTTCTTGTGATCCAAGTCATGCCAAACACTTTCAATGATATTGAACTCTGGTCTATGGGGTGGTCAGTCTATTTTTCTGAGAACATCAGTAGTTTCATTGTTTGATTTGCACATTTTTTTTCTCAGTATTGGCTTCTTGACCACTGCACATACTTTCAGAAAAATCTTGTGGATTTTTTCAGATCTGTAGCAAGAGTGGTGCTTGATTTTCTTCTATCTCACAAATATGAAAGCTTTAAGTGCTGCTTATCTAATGATGACAGTTTGGTGGTCTACCAGGTCTTACACGGTAGTTAGGAGTGTCATTCTCCACATTTTTGTATTTTGTTTTTCTGCTTTTCTATTTTTTAGGCTCATATTCAGAGCATTAATTTGCTTACCAAATTTGGTGCTAAATACCAGTACCCAATGACCTATGTTACACAGAGAACTTGTTCCCACAGATCCACCAGCCGATGTTCCAAGTTGTTCCGTCTTTCAAGCAAACAACTACACTGACTTGGCCCTGTTCTGCTCCTGGGTGGGTGGTTACCCTCCAGCTACCCTAAAGTGGAGTCTGTCTGTGAATGGAGACAACCAAATGGGAATCACTAACTTCACTCAGATCCAGCCAGGCCCTGATACTGCTAACAACTCTGTATTCACCTGCTATGGCTCACATGTTGCACTAAATATCACTCAGAGCTGCAGCACCAGAACATGTAAGTATGAGGCCACAATACAGCAGAACTCAAAGATCTTTTTAATATATATATATTTAAGTTGAAATAAACATACAAAGCATGGCATAAAACAATGTAGCTGCAAAAGTAACAGTAAAAACGTTAAAGGCCAAACCCAGTATTGGACTAATTTGAAATGCAAGTGGTAATTTACCATAATATACTTTTCAGTCTAGACTTTTTAGTCTAGGCTTAATCTGGATTTTGGAAACTGACCCTAAAAGTGGAATGGTGGCACAAATTGATATGTGAGGAATAAGTAAATAGCAATAGTGTATAATACGAATGGTACCTGTACTTCCTTTAAATATGGCTCTTATATGATCCCTAATGAAATCATGGCTGGCTGAGATGCACTCATCTTCACATAAAATATGCTGTCTGAATTGTTCTTTTGAAATTCAGTCGGAATAAATAATCATGCAGGGACATGACTTAAATCTGCCATCTTTAAGTATCTCTGAAAGAGTTCTACTAAAACTAAGATTAAATATGATATCAATTCAGATACAGATCTTGTATATATTTAAAAATGCCTGGAAACCAATTCAATGACATCAAAACTATTCAATGTCATTCTGCTCCCACACAAAAAAGTCTCTCTTCACCACAAATATCCTGTTCTCTCAAGGGCTACCCCAAGGAGAACCCCAGTGTTCTGCAAATTCCAGCCAAAATAATGAGTACCTGATGCTGTCTTGCTCCTGGGTGGGTGGTTTCCCTCGAGCTCTGCTGTGGTGGGCCTCCAGTTCCGGGGATGTCCAGGGCGCATTTGAGGAGAGCTCCAACATCCTGGTGCTGCGTTCCAGTTCCACCTACAGTGGCAAAGCATTTGTGTGCCATGCCAAACACCCACTAACAAAAGAGAGCAAGACGTGTGTGTTAAAACTGGGTAAGGACTGCTTAATGTGCAATTTAAAAGAGGGAACATTTGCTTGATATCTTAAAATTAGCAATACTGCTATTGTGTAACAATAATTTAGACAATAAGGTGCAATGTTGAGTGGTAGCCCACACTACTACATTTTCTGTCATTCATAGCAATAAAATTATGTAATGTTTATGGTATGGATTGCAGCAGTATGAAATAAATAAAGTATAGATTTCACCCAGCAATTTTGTTCACAGTAATTGTGTTTGCCAGGAATTCTGAAAAGCCCTGTAATTAGACATATTCTATGTTGCATTTCTCTTCCAGAGACTCCAGTGTTGATCACTGAGAACAGTGTAGTTTCAGTATTTGAGGGCAATGATGTTCAACTGACCTGCAGTCTGAGTAAAACCTACCCTCCAGCTACAGAGATTATCTGGTACAACAAATTAAGGCAGAGTGTGGGTGACACATCCAAGAAGTACATCCTTCAGCGGGCTTCAGCCTGGACCAACCTGACTGTTCGGGAAACAGACAGTTTGGTAGACAGTGGCTACTACTGGTGTTCCGCTACCAATGCTGTCGGACGAACAGACATGCCCATCCTATTGCTGGTGATGAGTGAGTTGATCAAAACAAACATTCAAATTAATTTCACACAAAAAAATGACAAGAATAAACATCTCATGACAACACATTTAAACTCTGTAATGCTTTTTATTCCTTCCTTGGAATGACCAAGACTGAATTGTAATGCTTCTTTGATTCAGGATACCCAATGCCTCCAAACGTTACTATCAGTAAGATCATCTACAGCAGCCGTCAGCGGACAGACGTTAACATGGAATGGATGATCCGGACAGACAGTGTCCTCACTGGCTTCTTCATTGAACGTCAAAGACTCCCTGGTCCTGAAGGGAAGAGAGATATTGTGCCCGTCTGGCAGAAAGTGGCAGTAGATCTGGAGCCCAGCACTCGCAGCTACCAGATCAACAATCTGGATCCTAATGTAACATATGCTTTCCGCATAACAGCTATGAATCGTCGTACTGCTGGTAATCCTTCAGAGATCAGGAGCCCAGGTGAGAACTGATACGATTCTGTGAACCTGTGTTACACTCATGAAACACATCAGCTGTCAAGGTATCACTGACAACATCGGTATCCTTTACTATTTAATAGTATCTATGCCAGTGTCCAAACCCTACATTGTGCTGAGTGATCGCTCGCCTGTAGAAGGCACATCGGTGTGGATGTTCTGTGGACTGGAGACTGGAACAGAGCCTGTTAGCTACATATGGGAGCAGGAGAGCCGCAGTGGCCTGGTCACCACACTGGCTGAGAGCAACAGCAATCTGATCAACATCACTGGGGTCACCTGTAATCATACTGGCTGGTACAGATGCCTGGCCAGGAACGAGGTCAGCCAGCAGCGCAGTGACCGTATCTGGTTAGATGTCATATGTAAGTGTGGGTTTTACAATCTTGTTTGATGTTTTTGCAAGCAGTGATACTTCATGTCTAAAGCTTCCAGTAAAAATGAGGACCTACAAAGAGTTGTATTTCCATAAGTAAATATGAGGTTCTCACATTTTTCTCATTTCACTGAATATATTTATTGTTAGTATAATGCATAATGCATTCGGATGTTTCTTCACATGTGTTATGTCTGTTTCAGTTGGACCAGAACAGCCTCAGATAGATGTCACAGCCTACTCAGTGACAGATCAAGGCTACTCAGCCCTGGAGAGAAGAAACATTTCCCTCACATGTCAAGCCTCCTCTAACCCTCCCAGCCAGTACGTCTGGTTCTACAATAACTCAGAGATCTACACTGGAGCACAGCTCACCATCAGTACAGTTCTGCGGGGGCATGCAGGGTACTATGCCTGTCTGGCCCAGAATACTTACCGCAACACCCTCTCCAAGAAAACCATCACTCTCACCGTCTACTGTGAGTGCATTTTCTCCACATCCTCTTTTGTTAGACGTGGTGTTTTATGTTTTTTTTTAGATCATTCCTGCTTTCATCTTCTATTCATATTCTATTACAAACCCAATTCCAAAAAAGTTGGGAGTAGTCAAATTCCAATTGAAAACAGAAATCTGTGATTTATAAATCCACTTTGCCCTGTATGTGAACAAAATATGTAATATGATATGTAATGTTTTATCTTATCAACTTTATTATTTTTCATAAATATATGCTCATTCTGAAATTAATGTCTGCAACTTGTTCCAAAAAACCTGGGACAGGGGCACTTTAAGACTAGGAACATTGGGAACTGTTTAAAAATCTTAAACAGGTGAAGAGGTGATGCTATCATGCTTGGATATAACAGGAGCATCCAGGAAAGGTCTAGTCCCTTATGAGCAAGGATGGGTTGACACTTGGCAAATTACCAAAAAAGCATTAGCAAATAGTCCAACAGTTTAATAATAACATTTCACCCTCTACAGTGCATAATATCATGAAATATTCAAGAAATCCAGAGAAATGTGTGTGTAAAGGAAAAGGTTTAAAAACTACAAATTAATAACAGTGACCTTAAACCTCTCAGATGGCACTGCATTAAAAAATGGAATGTTGTAATTATCACCATGTGGGCTCGGGAATACTTTGATAAACCGTTGTCAATAAACACCGTCCGTCACTGCATCCACAAATGCATGTTAAGACTCTACTATGCACGGTGGAAGGTATATATCGATGATGTCCAGAAATGCTGCTGACTTTATGGCATGGTTGTGTATTAATGGGTAACTTGCACAACTGTAAAAGTACCATTGACACTGAGCACATTTTGGAGCAACGCATGCCTTTTAGATGCCGTCTTTTTCAGGGACGTCCATGTTTATTTCAACATGACAACACCAAGCCTCATTTTGCATGTGTTACAACAGCATGACTGCATAATCAGAGAGTGCAGGTGCTAGACTGACCTGCCTGCAGTCCAGAACTGTCTCCCTTTTAAAATATGTGTTTTATTAAGCTCAACTTATGACAGCAAAGGCCCTGTGCAGTTGCACAGCTGACGACTGTCAGATGACAGTACAACAGAAAAATGGCAAAAAAATTCCACTTTCAAAATTGGATCAGTTGGTGTCTTCAGTCTCCAAACAGTTATTAAGTTTTGTGGTGTAACACAGTGGTAAGCATATGTCTGCCCCAATGTTGCAGGCATCAAATTACAATGAGTGTGTATTTACAAAAAATTATGACCCTCATAAGGTAAAACATCAAATATATTGTTTTTGTATTATTGTCAGTTTAATACAGGTCAATACATACAGGTCAAGAATTTACTGTTTTTATTGGCTTTTCACATACTGTCCCAACTTTACTGGAACTGGGTTTGTACTTATTAAGCTATTTCGCTTTAAAACTTGATATAAACCACTAATCAGCCTTTAGTCCTCTGTTTTTTGGTTCTATCCACCATGATGAATGCCAACTGCTTGATCTCACCTTGTTTTCACACTCGAATTCAGAAGCATTGCTCATCTAATATTACTTAGCAGATCTGATCCTATGCTTTCTTTTATCATTTTTAACCCAACATGCTCTTGTAAAATTAAGACCACCCCAGAAGTAACAGAAGGCACTCCCAGACTTGCCCTCCACACTTGCTTCAGTCCCTACTGTCACAAGAACACACAAGATAGGTTTTGATTTTTTAAGGGAGGAGGTACACAAACTGCCCGTGTCATGAGTTGCATTTTGATTTGATACAGACATCGAAGACAGGAACTTATGCAAGTCTATGTGAAATTGCTATAATTGTAAGTTTTGAATGTAACAGCTAAACACACTGATATACTGTGTACTTATAGCCATATGTGATCACTTATCTTTGTGCTTGCTGATTGTAAATGATTTCAGTGCACTACAGTCTCTTGGGACAAAAATGAATGCTCACTAACATTGCCTAATTTCACAAAAACATTCTGTCTCAACTCCATGTTTGCAAATGTTCAAGGGTTAAGGATTAGTTTAGGAGGATGAAAGGGAAGCCATAGAGAAAAAGAAACAGAAGTGGGAGTCTTTGAAGCCCAAATCTCCATTTAATTTCATGAAAACAGAGCAAACGTTTACACATATTACACGTGTTTAACAATCTCAATTACAGTACATTGGAAACTGCTGTTTATATGGTGAACTACAAAAGTACGTATTTCAGTGGGAGCTAAAGCCCAGAAGAGTTATACATAGAAGAGTGGATCACTCTCCAAAATGTGTAAAATCACAGAAGATCAAGTTTAACTGCTCAAGGAACATTACAAGAGGGAGACAAAGGTAACTGTCAAATTCATGCTAATGAATTGCGCTGCAGATGTTAAGGTTCTGGGAAAAAAACCCTGGAAGATGCATGTACAGTCCCCACTGGCATCAGAATGAGAGAGCTGTGGCAGAGAAAATCTGAGCATATGCACCCAAACCATTAGGAGAAACTCCAGGAGAGAGAAGTTGAGTGCTGAGCTGTGACCGTAGGTCTGAGAAATTACTTCTTTTGAAAAGTCAGGTGAAAGGGCAACATTCGGTTCTCTGATGCAAGCAGCAATTGAATAGTCTGAAGAAGAAGAAGAGGTTTCCAGTCACCTCTGCTAGGAGTCACACGCACAGTGCTGCAGAAGATCTGCAACCCATTTTATCTCTGTAGGTACTACATGACAGGAAGAACTACCCAGAGCCTCACAGAGAACAGCGTAAAGAGGTGTTCCCCTGAGAGACTGGTGCTTTGCGATAATGAGGGAAGGCTGATTTGCTACACTTATGGAAAGCCATAACATCCCTTCCCAACAACATTCCCCTAACAACAATCTATGGGACAGCAGTTATGCCTCAGTTCTACGACTCATATCACCAAACAGACTAACTGCATTTCAGCTGCAGTTCAGCCAATATAAACACTTAGCTCAGCAGTTCATGAACTGATTCCAAGAATGAATGAACAATGAACGCCAAGTGTCTAGTTCAAGCAAATAGGTAGGTTTAAAATACCTTTTTTCAATATTTCAAGTATTCATGTAATATTTCAAGGTGTACTCCAAGTGCCTATATTTTGCTGTTGATGTTTTGAATAAACAATGGCCAGTTCAGGTTAAAATATTATTCAAAAATGAAATAAAAATGTAGGCGTTCTCTTGCCCACTGATTTGTTGAGATTGTTTAATATGGCCCTTTTAGAGGTTGAGTTTGACACCCTCAACCCTCAACCCTCAAATACTATGCTGTTTGGTCTCTGCAATGCTCCAGTGACATTTGAGAACCTAAGGGACACAGTCCTTGGGGATGCTATTACATATTCTGATGGGTAAAGCTAAAAATGCTGTGACTGATACAATTATACCAGTGCAACATCCACTCCAACTGCCACTACCGCTATTGTTTAGTGTTAATGCTGCACTGAGACTGATCCTCCATCCAAAATAGTATATTTATGTGGTAGGCATACCAGATAAAATAGCCAGTGAGTGTAGGTACACGGTAGTTATAGCTAATAGACTGACAACTGAAATACAACAAGTGTATTTTAAGTGTGTAATGAGAGGTGGGTCAAAAACACTGCACATTCACATAGATATCTTGTTCTCTCAGATCCACCAGATGGCGTTCCAACTTGTTCTATCCTCCCAGTGAACAACTACACTGACCTGGCCCTCTTCTGTTCCTGGATGGGAGGCTACCCTCCAGCTACTATGAAATGGAGTCCATATGTGAAAGGAGACAACAGAGAGGGATTTTCTAATGTCACTTTGATCCAGCCAGGCCCTGATACTGCTAATAACTCTGTATTCACTTGCCATGGGTCACATGTTGCTCTAAATATTGCCCAAAACTGTAGCACCAGGACATGTGAGTATGTGATCACTATCAACCATGAGTTCATAGCTGATAACTTCCTATTCTTCTAGGATAAATTAATTTCAAGCATACATTTAATGCATTTATTAAGAGAAAAGTTATAAATATCAACTTTAAACTGTCTAAACAAACAAACAAATTAACAATACATACTAATTTGCTTACAGTAGAACTCCTAGACCTGTGCTCTTTAGTGTAAATATGCTGTTGTTCCCAGGGCTGCCCCATGGAGAACCTCAGTGTTCTGCATATGCGACTCGCAATAATGAGTACTTGATGCTGTCCTGCTCCTGGGAGGGTGGTTTGCCTCGGGCTCTGCTGTGGTGGGCCTCTGATTCAGGGGACGTGCAGGGCACATCTGAGGAGAACTCCAACATTCTGATCCTGCGCTCCAGTGCCACCTACAGTGGCAAAGCATTTGCATGCCATGCTAAACATCCATTGGCTAAAGAAAGCAAACAGTGTGTGTTAAAACTGGGTAAGGAGTGCTCAGGAGGAAGCATTTTGTTGACATGTATACATTGCTATGAACAGAGAAAGAAACACCCTTTATTATGTCTCTGTTGCTTGTTCCTTCCCTTTTCGAGTAATTGAAGATGTGGTACACAGTCTTCTCATATGGCTCTTCCTTCCAGAGGCTCCAGTGTTGATGACTCAGCGCAGTGTGGTTTCTGTCTATGAGGGTAATGATGTCCTGCTCACCTGCATTCTGAGCAAAAACTATCCAGCAGCCACAGAGGTCACCTGGTACAACAACTTAAAGCAGAACGTAGGTGAAACACCCAAGAAGTACGTCCTTCAGCAAGCTGCAGCCTGGTCTAACCTGACAGTGCGAGAAACAGACAGCATGGTGGACAGTGGCCAGTACTGGTGTTCTGCTAAAAACGCTGTCGGAGGAGCAGAGATCCCTGTCAAATTGGTGGTGATGAGTGAGTGCACAGCAAACAGACGCATTAACATAGAGTTACATACAAAATGTCCTTGCTCTTGATCAGCTTGATCTTACACTGAAAACATGAGAGAAATCGTATCTTTCGGTGAACCAAAATTATTTTTAAAAATAAGAAAAAAAATCTGAAGAAAAAAACATTTTTTACTTAAAAACACATTTTCTTTTCAAAACCCTGGATTTAACATGTTTCCTTTGCCAAGACAACAGCACTAAGGGTCCTTCTTTAATGATGGATGAGATAAATGGAGTGAGAACATTCCTTCTTCCAAATGTCTTGAGATCATTCAAAGTCCTTTATGCATGCTTGATGACCCTCTTCTTTAGCTCAACCCTCAGGTTTCAGAGGGGTTAAGGTCAGAGGACTGTTATGGTAATTCCAAAAGTTTAGTTCTGTGGTCAGGGAACCATTTCTATTTGGATTTGGAGATATATTTTTAATGTAAGATCAAACTTATTAAAAGCAAAGACCTTATTACATAGTGCATGTTGCTCTTATTTAGTTATTGAGGGCACTGTACATGTATTTGAAGGAGGTGATGAAAACCAGCAGCTGCTAAAACCATATGAATGAACACATTTCTTCAGGTTACTGTTTTTTTCAAGATTTATGGATCTATAGTATTTGAAATGGTACCTCATAATTATTAATTTTATGGTAAATGAAATAGCACAGTAACACAATTTTAAAACATCATACCTCATTGAATGACTTTTGTTACTGATTTTCATTTGATTCAGGGTACCCAATGCCTCCAAATGTCACTATCACTAAAATCACGTACAGCAGCCATCAGCGGACAGATGTTACTGTGGAGTGGCTGATTCAGGCAGATGCAGACCTCACTGGGTTCTTCATTGAGCTTCAGAGGCTCCCTGGTCGTCTAGGGAAGAGTGACATTGTTCCTCTCTGGCAGAAAGTGGCAGCAGATCTAGAGCCCAGTGCTCGCAGCTACCAGATCAATAGTTTGGATCCTACTGGCAAATACGCTTTCCGTGTAACGGCTGTAAATCGCCGTACCATCGGACATCCTTCAGAGATCAAGAGTCCAGGTGAGAGGAAAAAAAAGTGAGACACAATATACACATCAAGGTTTTGTGAACTCGTTAAAAGGCCAGGGCCTGCTGCGCCGGAAGTCCATTTTTCAAAATGTTTGTAAAAAAAAAAAAGCTTTCTTTTTGGACTCTTGTCTCACAACATCCTACAAGTAGTACAGCTCTGCCATGAATGTACAAAATACACATTTTAGGCCTTTAGAGGCATTAAACTCTTTAGAAGTCTGGTTACTATCAGCATCACTGTGGACAATTCTGACTCTGACTAAGTTTCACACTAGACTACCCTGAATGATTTTGTTGACATTGTAAGAAATGAATTATGTGGAAATTTTGAAAAATTTGTGGAATTCCTCTTTAAGGAGTGCACCCCCCATTTTCCTCTACATTATATCATCTCTTGTGAGCTCAGCTCGTAAGTGCTACACTATTTCCAAACTTATGTACAGTACAGTGCACCTGATTTATATTAATATATCATGGAGATTTTACTTTTATTGCACCAAAAAACAGGCATTAGAGGACAACGCTGTAATTTTTTTCACAGCAGAATTACAATAAACATACAGAAATATCTATGCTGTCTTCCAGCTCTTCCAGGCTTTAACGCATACCCTTCTGTGATTGGAGCAGCCATCGGAGGTATGCTTGTGGCAACAGTAGCAACTGTGCTGATCTTCCTTTATGTGCTGAGGAACCGCAACAACATCCCACGTAAGTCTCTAAATCTAATGCAGAGTGATATGTGCCAACTGTGACACTATCATTGTACATTAATTTGCTTTTCAAATTTGCTTTTACAGGTCTTCATGACATGATATTTGGCAGGTAAATAATATCATTATGACGATTTTTCCATTTTTAACTTCATCATACATAGTATGAAGATTTGCATTAAAATGCTCATCTATTCTGCACCTAGTGTAAAAGGTGATGTATCTACTAAGTAATACACATATAAATGTTTTATTCTTGATATATTTGTCTTGAAATGTCTTTGGTTACTCAGGCAAAACAGCCAGTCCAGAGAAAATATTAACTTCCCTGAGGACGAGGTTGTTGGAGGAGCAGAAGAAGGAGGCAGAGCAGAGATGAGACCAGGTACAGGTCAATTACAGGTGTTTTTAGCCATCATTCAAATGAGGATTAATAGTCACACAGATCATCCTTTACTTTCAGTTTAATACTAATCTGACAATCCTAATCTTTCCTAGGAACATCTGTAACACTGCCAAGATCTGCAATGCCTGCAAACCTGCCTCCACAGATAAAGCAGCCAAAGTGACCATAATGGACATTCCCTTGAGCTGGAGCTTTTGAACACAAAGCAAATCTTCAATCATCAACTGACACAGAAACACAAAAAGTGGAATATTTTTTGCACTGGGGACTTTAGAAGTAGGACCTAACAATCTTTTTTATACTTACAGGAGGTACTTTTATACAATCCCTCCTGCAGTAACAAAAGATTCATTTAAAAATTAATTTCATGTCAAATCTTAAAAATACAAATAGTTTATAGACTAAGCTTAACAAGCCAGCAAGTGACTTTCTGCTTTATTTAATCACGGGATGTATCAAGATTAGAATACTACACCAGCACCACAATATACCATAATGAACAACTAATTAACAAAATAAAAAAACTATTTTTTATATAATTACAATGTACAATTAAAAAAATGGCAACTTTACAGGAGAGGGCAAAAACATTCTTTTGTGTTATTTATCCATTTATCATGAAATTTTCACACCACATAAAGGTCAACTGCTGTGTTCAATGTAGAAAAATGAAAATACTTGATTTTTTTGGAAATCATGATATTCTGAAAATGTTAGAAAATAGCAATTATGCTGGAGGAACTGAGACTGAGGGGGAAATGTGAGTGTTTTACTCAACTGTTGATGAACATGATGCACAGAATGATGATCTGAATGTCAAAACACCATATATGGACTCCTAATATGTCTTTACAATACCTGAATATTTTCATATCACTGTAATTGCACTAAAATAAAAAAATGCTGCTGGAATTTGGAAAAAATAATTACTATTGTTTTTTATTTTTATTTATTTAGTGTTTTACTGAATGGCACTTGTATGAGAAAACAGGTAGTGTACCACATAATGTTGATCAAAATATTCAAGCAATGTGTCTAAAAACTATCCAAGACATCCACAATCCACAAGGTAAGTGTTACAAAGAATAAAGGTATGAAAAGAATGGAAATCAGCAAATACAGCCCATCTCTGCCAAGCATACATCATGACATAATGATGTTTGTTATTATGATGAATTATATTAAATCACATACATCACGTCAACTTATAAAAATACCTCTTTGTGGTAGATGTTTCCTGGTGCTTATGTTCCCAATGCTGTAATCACAGTATAGAACAGACCAGAACAGAAGTGCTCTTTTACAATCTTGATCTCATGTTCATCTTTTGCTTTTATATACTGTGCCAAAAGTCAGAGACCACCCTTTCCTTTATTCAATTTCTAGTCAAAATATTCATGAAGTATAAATTATTCATTTTTCAGTATCAGAAAAAAAAAGTATATCAAATCTATCCGTATTTCATTTCAACCCCTCTACACTTTGATTAAGCTCTGCTCTTGTGTCAGATCTGAAAAATCCACAGATGTTTCTGTCCGTCCTTCCACTGTGAGAAGACAACTCAAAACTATGATTCTGAAATGATATGTAACTGTCAAGAAGCTGTTACTGAGAACAGGAAATTGTTAAAAAATTGGAATATTTGTACTGAAACTGGACATTTGGGATGTGGAATAAGGTTTTAGAGAATCTAAATTTGTACCTAGAAATACTTGGACCACGAGATGAAAATGCAAACAACTTTTGAGACTGAACTCTGGAAGTGTGAGCCTTAAAAACTGAAAGCAATTGAAAAGAATGAAACCTGTAATAAAGTTAAACGATGGACGCACTAAATACCATAAAAAAAATGTTGTTGAAGTTTTCTTTTAAATATTTCTTCTGCTTTTGAAACTGACTTGAAACAAATCCACCTAAATACATGGACAACTCTTTCATTCCAAATAGGTAGGCCCACATTATTCATGAGTGTATGTTAAGTACAGTGTTGGGACAGCGTGCGTGGCAGTGAATTGTCTACCTGCTGCGTATGACGGAATGTTAGCATAGCTGTCCAGCCCTCTCTCCTTAATAATGGATGAGGTATCATCATGTTATCCTAAACCCTGGCTGTATTCCTGTGCACAGAAATGAGAATTTGTGAATAATTTATGCCAATTTAGCTCACGAAGACTAGGTTAGTTCTCACTCAGCTTCACCCAGCCTGTGCACACTGGCTGAAAGCACTACTAAGATATCTGCCTGGATATTTCACTTCTTTCTGAATTGGATTTAGCAACTGTTCTGGTGACTTCCTTCCATCTCAGACACAGCACTGGATACATAAGTGTCATGTCACCATGCTACACAGACTGTTACGACTGTCTAATTTCTCACTGACCATTGTTCTACTTCCTTTCCTGCAAGGTAAGAGGTCACACACAGATGTCTATGGTTCTCTCCAGCTATCAGTTACGTCTTTGCCGAAAGGTTTAACTTTGTTTTCACATTTCTTTTTTAAATTGCATCACAGAGTAACTTATCAATAAACATTGCATTTTAACATTTTTTGAGTGTAGGATATGAATGATTTCTGCAGAGAGACAATAAGACATGCACCTATTGTGTACTTCTGCACTTGTCAATAACTACCTTACACCCTGCTGAAAAACCCAGCTAAGACCAGCTTTTGTTGCTGTCAGGTGATCTAAGCTAGTCTTTCATGATCAAGGTAGACATCCAACCAGACCAGGCAAAATATAACCTATGCTGCTCAGCTGGTTAAGCTGGAAGACAAGCTGACAGACATACTGATGGACCAGCTTGGTCAAGCTAATTATGCTGGTGAACCAGCTTGTTCAAGCTGGTCATGCTGGTGGACCAGCTTGGTCAAGCTAGTAATGGTGGTTGGCCAGCTTGGTCATGATGGTGGACAAGCTTAGTCATGCTAGTCATGCTGATGGACTAATTTGGTCTAGTCATGCTGGTGGACCGGCTTGGTCATGCTGGTGGACAAGCTTGGCCAAGCTACTCATGCCAGAAGATCAGCTTTGTGGGTAGACAAGCTTTGTGAAAGGCAGTGAGTGTCTTTGTGAATCTGGGTATTTCTTGTTAAGTTCATGTATTGTTCTCTCAGGGTTAGAGATTTCTGATCCAGGGCAAGTGGTGTACAGGGAAGCCAGGACCAGTGGTGTGGTGGAACATGAAGTAACCCTGGAATGTGGCACCACCCTCCCTGATGTCTACATCTGGAGCTTCACTAAACCAGGCACAGACACTATTCGAGCTGTGGTGTATAACTTTGGCAAGGGTCCAAAGCTGCAGCAGCTGGCACAAGATCTGGGTGATCTGAATGTAATCACAAACACTGCATCTCTGTCCATAGAGAAGCTTCCTCTAGCTGCAGAGGGTTTGTACACCTGCCAGGCTCTGTATGACACTGCTGAGGGAGCCAGACTCTACTACTACTATGTGCATCTACGGGTTTTAGGTTAGTAGAAAATGCTGTGGTCAGATCAGCTAGTACAACCAGGAGCATGTCAGCATGTGTTATGTCATCCTGAATTGATTAATTTGTAATTATTAATTCTGTGTTAACTGCAAACATTAGCGTGAAATCTTTTGAATAGCTGATTAGAACATGCACATTAACAACTATATTATAAGAACATGTTATAACATAATAATGCTTATAGATAATCAGTTCCGTGGTGCATCCCACAGTGCCTGTTTCCAAACCTTATGTTCTACTGAGTAACTCGTCAGCAGTGGAGGGTTCATCATTTTGGATGCGCTGTGGTCTGGAGAATGGAACAGAGCCCATTAGCTACACATGGGAGCAGGAGAGCCGCAGTGGGCTGGTCACTACACTGGCTGAGAGCAACAGCAGTCTGATCAACATCATCTGGGTCACTCGCAACCACACCGGCTGGTACAGGTGCCTGGCCAGGAACGAGGTCAACCAGCAGAACAGTGATCATATCTGGTTAGATGTCTTATGTGAGTGGGGACTCTAAAAGTTCCAGTGAGTTCTGTTGTTGATAACAATGAGGTTCCTTCTTTCCTGACATCATAAATTAAACCTGTACTCTCATCATTTAGTGCAACATTGTGATTCGTTCAGTGACAACATGGCTGGATATAAATAATTATTGGAAAATGTTCATATCAAACTTGTTTAGTACTATCACAAGATTTAAGTCTTACTGAATGAGTACCAGAATCTTAAAATGGTTAGTCTGATCTGCAGCACATTTGAAGCCACTGTAAAATACTCAACATGCAATGACCATCTGACAATTGAATTCTGTGTTAATGCAGCAAGTCACTAAAAACCATTGTGCTGTGAGTGTACTGATAAAGTAAGATACTAGGCAACTAAACTAGGACAACAGCAATTACAAACAAAAATACCTTCCTATACAGCTGGCTACAAATTGAAGTGTTATGCAATATCTTGCTTTCTCAACCAAATTTTGCTTTACATTTTTCAGCCCCTGTTTTTCTGTAGAGCAGACTAAAGCAATTCATGAAGTCAGTAATTGCTTCTGTGCACACTGTCTGGTATGCACAACGTACATTACTAATCACGTCTTCACATACTCCCCTAAAACATAAGTCTGTTTGAAATATAAAGCATTAATTCTGGTTAATAAACAGAAGGAGGCTCTTAAAGAGGAGAGGTAGTAGCCACTGATCTTCATAATAAGTTTTATAAGTTTAAATTCTCAACGTATGTTAACATTGGTCATCTCTTTTTAGTTGGACCAGATCTGCCTCAGATTGAAGCCTCAGCTTACTCAGTGATGGAGCAAGGCTACTCAGCCTTAGAGAAAGGAAATGTCTCTCTCTCGTGTCAAGCCATCTCTAACCCTCCCAGCCGATATGTCTGGTTTTACAACAACTCACAGATCTACTCTGGACCACAGCTCAGCATCTCTGTCATCCAGCGTGTGGATACTGGCAACTACACCTGTCTGTCCCAGAACACCTACCTCAACACCAGCTCAAAGAAAACAATCACTCTCACAGTCTACTGTAAGTGCTAATACACAACACAGGGTCCACAGAGGTCAGGAAACTGTGGTCTTTTCCAAGTAAAGCTCTTGTGTTTTCATCATTCCATGCTGTTTTATCCAGTATCTTTCCTGTACTGGTTTCTTTGTTCACTTACGCTTGTCCATGAGTACACCCAGTTACAGATTTGCAGGCTGCCACTGTGCTGCAAAATGTTTTTGTACAAGCATCTGAGAAGTGAAGAAATCATTTTAATCATTTTAAGAAGAAAACATTTTAAAGAACTGCAGGGAAAATTCAGTATACAGAATATGCGTATACAAAAGTTTAAACACAGCCTCTACAGGGAACTTAAATGCAGCATTTTCCTACAAATTTTAGAGCACAAGTCCTATTTAGTTGTTGAGTTTAACATATTGGAAAAAATAAAACAAAATGTTAAATATGTCATAACTTTTGTACAAGACACATTTGGGGTTTCTCCTTTCAATATGTTAAATTCAGCAAATAAACAGTAATTGTGCATTAAATGTAGAGGATGTGTGCTTATTTTCACTTCAGCAAAACATGTAATTTGACCAAGAATGCCCAAACATTGGATATGACTGTATATTAATGAAAAATAAAATTATATTTGGCTATTGTATCTATTATTACATGGCATGCCGAGAGTAAAGCTCATACTTATCTAATTAAACCTCAGTCATCTACGCAGATAGACTAAAAACACTTCCAAATCCAGCCTGCATGCAGCTCTGATACAGACGAATTACTTTGCTGAACATGTTCCCTGTCCAGTTATACAGAGGGCTTGTTTTCACAGATCCACCAGATGGTGCTCCAACTTGCTCCATGTTCCCAGCAAACAACTACACTGACCTGGCCCTTTTCTGTTCCTGGGTGGGTGGATATCCACCAGCAACACTGAAGTGGAGTCCATATGTGAACGGAGACAACCAACAGGAAATTTATAATATCACCCAAATTCAGCCAGGCCCTGATACTGCTAATAACTCTGTATTCACCTGCTATGGTTCACATGTTGCACTAAACATCACCCAGAGCTGTAGCACCAGGACATGTGGGTATCTTGATTTTTATTTGGAGTTTTTAGAAGTGTAATGCCATATGGGGGGTTTGTATTGAAGGACATGCCTGACGTCATGTAAATTAGCCATATATTATGACATTCAGTAAGGTAACTGGCACATCAGTGCTGACTGTGCTTGAATCATTATTTATCTTTCAGCCTTTGGTCATTAACATGATGACTTACAGGATGAATGAAAGATGTACACCTTTTCGGAGTAACACTAAATTGTATGTATTTGTTAATGAAAATGGACTAAAAAAAGAGAAAGTAGAACACATTTGAATTTGCCTAATAAAGTTAAAAAAACCTTTAATGAACTATATTTTCTTTTTCCTAGGGCTGCCTCCTGGAGAACCTCAGTGTTCTGCGAATTCCAGCCGTAATAATGAACACCTGATGCTGTCCTGCTCCTGGGAGGGTGGGTTCCCTCGTGCTCTGCTGTGGTGGGCCTCTAGTTCAGGGGAAATGCAGGGCACATCTGAGGAGACCTCCAACATCCTGGTTCTGCGCTCCAGTGCCAACTACAGCAGCAAAACCTTTGTATGCTATGCTAAACATCCGCTAAATAAAGACAGCAAGAAGTGTATGTTAAAACTTGGTAAGGACTGTTCATTATACGCATCATGGTTGACAATGGTAGTATTTCACAGTGTAAAGAACAATATATATTAACAAACTGAAGCATTTTACAGGACAACTATTTTCTCTTTTCCACAATATTTGAATTAATCGACTTAATGAAGATGTTCTTAACTATTTTCCAAAATATCTGTTTTTCTAGAGGCACCGGTATTGGTAGCTGACCGCAGTGTCGTTTCTGTCTATGAAACCAATGATGTCCAACTCACCTGCCTTCTGAGCAGACACTACCCAGCAGTCACAGAGGTCACCTGGTACAACAACTTAAAGCAGAACGTAGGTGACACACCCAAGAAGTACGTCCTTCAGCAAGCTGCAGCCTGGTCCAACCTAACAGTGCGGGAAACAGACAGCATGGTAGACAGTGGCCAGTACTGGTGTTCTGCTACCAACGCTGTGGGAAGAACAGAGATGCCCATATTGTTGGTGGTAATGAGTAAGTTAAATTCAAACTAATTTTAAACTGCAGCCAGTAAGTAATTGGATAGTGACACAATGTTTGTTGTAATGTCCATCTACTTCAGCACACTGGATTTGAAAAGATCTAGACTATGATAATGAGGTGCAAAGTGTCATTATTTTTATTTATTTTTATTTTTATGTCACATCCCTGTATGTGTGGCCTAGCATGTGCATGTAGCTTTAAGAAAGTGTTAGAGTCAGTTAATGGCTAGCAAGTGTACAGAGAATTTGTTCCATTTTTCATCCACATAATGTACTTGTGAGAGCCTGAGTTTTCAGCTTTAACAGTCAGCTAAACAAGGCTCCATAACAGGCTGGACAGCAATAACATAATGCAATTACAGATATAAGGGCATAATATAAGCTCATTGTCTCTAAAAAGCAGGCCCAGGATGCACATTAATGGTGCATTAACATTTTTTGTTTTCCGTAAACACTCCAAAGACATATTTATCAAAATGTTGCAGGTTGCATTTGGTAGGTTGGAAGTAACTGTTGTATGTTGTACCTTCTGGGTTTCTGCAAGTATACTTTTCTGCTTATAATTGTCTTAAGCTACACATTATGTGTGCTCCTGATGTGTTGTGCCACCGACTGATTTTCTTGCCAGCTGACTAAAAAACAACTTTGTTTCAATGCCTGTTTGATTCAGGGTACCCAATGCCTCCAAACATCACCGTCAGTAAAATCATATACAGTAGTCGACAGCGGACAGATGTTAATATGGAGTGGCTGATCCAGACAGATGGTGACCTTACTGGATTCTTTATAGAGTACCAAAAGCTCTCTGTCCCTGTGGGGAAGAATGACAATGTTCCTGTCTGGCAGAAAGTGGCAGTAGATCTGGAGCCCAGCATCCGCAGCTACCAGATCAACAATCTGGATCCTACCGTGACATATGCTTTCCGCATTACAGCTATGAATTGTCGTACCACTGGAAATCCTTCAGACATCAAGAGCCCAGGTGAGAACTGATATGACACTGACATGAACCTGTATTACATCTATGGAACAGTGACAACTGTTAAGTATCAGATACTACATCTGTAGCCTTTTACACTTTGACAGTGTCAGTGCCAGTCTCTAAACCCTACATTGTGCTGAGTGATCCCTCACCTGTGGAAGGCACATCAGTGTGGATGCGCTGTGGTCTGGAGAATGGCACAGAGCCCATTAACTTCATATGGGAGCAGGAGAGCCGCAGTGGGCTGGTTACCACACTTGCTGAGAGCAATCGCAGTCTGATCAACATTACCTGGGTTACCCGTAACCACACAGGATGGTACAGGTGCCTGGCCAGGAACGAGGTCAATCAGCAGCGCAGTGACCGCATCTTGTTAGATGCTATATGTGAGTGTCTTAGATCTCTTAGTATATCCACGTGATTTCACTGGCAGCTCTTAAAATGTTGCCAGTGACAGTTGTTTCATAGTCATATCCACTTTAAGTTTGCTTGCTTGTATATTAATACTGGTCTCTTCTGTTTAGATGGTCCCGACATGCCTCAGATTGATGTCACACCCTACTTGGTAACAGAGAGTGGTTTCTCAGCCTTAGAGAAAGGGAATGTTTCCCTCATGTGTCAAGCCTCCTCTAACCCTCCCAGTCAGTATGTCTGGTTCTACAACAACTCCCGTATCAACGGTGGACCACAGCTCAGCATTATCAAGATCCTGAGAACGCACACTGGCAACTATTCCTGTCTGGCTCAAAACACTTTCCTCAACACCCGCTCCACAAAATCAATCACTCTTACTGTCTACTGTGAGTGCTTCCACACACTGCATGCCTTAGTTCTTAACCAGAGCTTCCTAAACAAAGGTACTGCTACATTACAATGCTCAAGCAGTACCTGTTAAGAGTTCTGTAGAAAGAAAACTCTCTAGTTCTATGGGTCTCAAACATGGCATGCAAATATAGTGGATACTCATTGTGTGCCCGCACATACTTGGTAAAGAGACTTTGGGCCAGTGATCAGGCCAAAGGGCAGAATTTTTAACTGACATGCCCACCTAGTAAGGCACTGGGAATTGCTACATGAAGCAAAAGGTGTTTTAGAAATTAACCAAATCTCTGAAGATGTAAAAAGGGGCTATGTATAAGATGTAGCAAGGGCTGTATAAAAACATGCTTGGGGTGGGATTTGGAGGCATGCGCTTTTAGCCACGCCACCTATTTGCAAGCCTAAGAAGAGGCACTCACTGGAACCAGTGATTCTTTACATAGTCATAATTAGCCCTAAACAAGCTTGAACCAGTTCATTGGTGCCCAGAAAGGTAGTGGCTCTACTGAAAATGGCAGAGGGCAAGTCTAAGGGTGTATAAAACCATGCAGCTAAGCATAAGGCAGATGTGGAAAAAAATTTTTCTGAGTTCCTAACCAAAGGTACTGCTACATTGCAATGCACAGGTATGCAACACAGAAGAGTGTTAAAAAAGGTATCAGAAGGAGCAGGAATCCTGCTGAGGGGATGGTCACAGTAGAAGGCAAATGATGTGCACAATTTATGATAACTTGTCCACATTGCACATGATTGTCCTGTGGGCTAGTCCAGGTAGCAAGCCAAACCAACCCAGGAGCAACCCAAACTAATAGTCATCCCAAGAGCAGGGGCACTAGTCTGGGACAATCAGAGGTACCAAGTTGTTCCTCTCAGAGGACATGGAGAACAGGGCAGGATTCTGAAGCTCCAACTGCTTTGTTTTTAACTTGTCAACGTGTCACTTCCAGAAAGGAAAGGTAGATATCTTTCATGTGTGTAATATATTTGTACTACCAGTTGCATAATATGTCACATTACTACATGACATTATTGGTATAAAATGCTTGACCATGTGTGCAGGCAAACAAGGTGTACCATCTTATCTTTGCAACATCCCTGACAGGCAATACAAGTCATAGACCTCGGCTACCATGTGTTGCCTTGTTTCCCCAGATCCACCAGATGGCGCTCCATCGTGTACCATGCTCCCAGTGAACAACTACTCTGACCTGTCCCTTTTCTGCTCTTGGCTGGGCGGATATCCTCCAGCTACCCTGAAGTGGATTCCATATATGAATGGAGACGACAGAGGGGAAATCACTAACATCTCTCGGATCTACCCAGGCCCTGATATTGCTAACAGCTCTGTATTCACCTGCTATGGCTCACATGTTGCACTAAATGTCACCCAGAGCTGCAGCACTAAGACGTGTGAGTGTAGAAACACTGACTTAAATCAGTTGTGACTTTGTGTGATATATTGTACACAGAATCTGGCATAAATGTGACTCTTAAAAAATGAACTTAATGAACTTAAAACAAACTAAACTGATAGACCTTCAAAACTCTTTTGGTCATCAGTCATCACAAACATCCAAACATGTTTCATAGGGCTGCCCTATGGAGAACCCAAGTGTTCTGCGAATTCCAGCCGTAATAATGAGTACTTGACGCTGTCCTGCTCCTGGGAGGGAGGTTTCCCTCGGGCTCTGCTGTGGTGGGCCTCTAGTTCAGGGGACATGCAAGGCACATCTGAGGAGACTTCAAACATCCTGGTCCTGCGTTCTAGTACCAACTACAGTGGCAAGACATTTGTATGTCATGCCAAACATCCTTTGGCCAAAGAAAGCAGGCAATGTGTGTTAAAGCTAGGTAAGGAGTGTTTGTCATACTGTTCAAAAGAATTTGAATTTAATGTTTCACACTGTAAAGAACAATATACAGTGGTAGACTGAGCTGACTGAGAACCATCACTTTCTATTTCTCAAACTTTGAAGTCAGACATTTGAATTGTGTCATTCCATTAATTTATTACACAAGGAACAACATGTCCCACAGCTCAGCACACTTAAAGGAGCCATTCTGAGAAATATTTCATTTGTTTTGTAAATAGACATAATCTAAACTGCCATTACATATACCTCTTGCTTCCAGAGGCCCCAGTCTTGATGACTCAACGGAGTGTGGTCTCAGTTTTTGAAGGCAGCAACGTTCAACTCACCTGCAGTCTGAGCAAAAACTACCCCGCAGTCACAGAGATTACCTGGTACAACAACACACAGCAAAAAGTGGGAGACAAACCCAATAAGTATGTTGTGCAGCAAGCAGCTGGTTGGTCCAGCTTGATGGTGCAGGAGACGGATGGCATGGTGGACAGTGGTCAGTACTGGTGCTCTACAACCAATGCTGTTGGAACAGCAGAAATTCCCATCACATTGCTGGTGATAAGTAAGTTCACTACAAACTAATCTGTAGTAGCCTAAAAAAGACACAGACTAGCAGACTCTGATACAAGGAATACAGTACTGTGCAAAAGTCAGAGACCACCTGTCAAAAAGGCCATTAAGTTAGATATAAGTTAAAATAATCCTCTTGCATAAGGACAGGGAAAGTCAAAGGAAGAGTTAAAAATGATTTAAATATATACAAAAAAATGGGACTCCTAACAACCGTACAAGACCTAGTAGACCACTAAAACTGTCACAATCAGATAAACAGTACTTAAAGTTTTTATCTTCGAGGGACAGGAGAAAATCAAGCTTGACTCGTCTCCACTATGAGAAGAATTGAACACTATGGGTCTTGAAAGTATGTGTGGCTGTAAAGGAGCTCTTACTGAGAAAAGTAAACAGACAAAAAAGAAAAAAAAACTTTGCAGATCAAAAAAGAAGCTGCTTGTGTTCTCAGAACAATGGACTGACCACCCCAGAGTCCAGACCTCTGCTTGGATTGTGAGAGGCAGAACATAGAAAACTTCTAAGACTGAGCTTTCAAGCTATGGAAAAATATCCCTGCAAATTAATTTGGAAAAATTAAAGCAAGTGTCCTGAAAAGAAGCAAAACTTTTATAAAGCCAAATTATATAGTCTTTGACAGTTGCACAGTGCAGGATAATATATTATTTTTAAGTTTATTTTAATGATTGTCTCAAATTATGCCAATAATGCTGACTTACAAACTCATGTGATGTCTTGCAGTGCCCGTTTCCAAACCTTATATTCAGCTGAGTGACTCTTCACCAGCAGAGGGTATGTCAGTGTGGATGCGCTGTGTTGTGGAAAAAGGTACGGGTCCAGTTAACTACATATGGGAGCAGGAGAGCCAAACTGGATTGCTCACAACACTGGCTAAGTGGAACAGCAGTCTTGTCAATGTCACTTGGGTTACCCGTAATCACACTGGCTGGTACAGGTGCCTGGCCAGGAACGAGGTCAACCAGCAGCGCAGTGACCGTATCTGGTTAGATGTCTTATGTAAGTGGGAGCTCTCATAGCACTAATAGTCATCGCTCCTCTCAGCAGATTCCGTCTCCACATCATTTTTCAAAAGTTTTCATGGAAATAAAACAGGCCCAGATCATGCATCTGTCCACTGTTAACTGTACAATAAAAGACTGTCCAAATATCTGGATAGCATCTCTTACCAATCCAATCTGCTCAAATCAAAGTGAAGATGGTGTCTTTTAACATTTTCCAGGCTTCATGTAAACAAAGCCTTCACTATGAGCACACACAAATCTACCATCTGCACTTTGCTAAGGACCACACTGACACTGCTCCTGAAGATAATAATTCATTTTTGGGCATCACTTGATGTCATGTTGCTTAAAAGAGGATTGTACCAGTGTTTTAAAATATTTGCATAATTAAATGGTTAAGATGTAAACAAAGTGATTCAGAATGTTATGTGAAATGCTCCACACTAGAGACAATTGCTTTATCAGAATTGTTCACAGTTGTAGTGATAGGAACCAGACGTCTGAAGAGTTTAATACCTCTAAAAGCTACCTCAAAGATTTACGGCCTGATGCCTAAAACATTGTTATTCTGTAGTTTTGAGATGAGGTTTTGTTCTATAATATTTTTAAAATTAATTCATGGTGGAGAGGCATAAGCAGGGAGTTGTGTCATGAAATAGTACTTTTAGTAGTAATAGTATTTTTTTATTATTTCAGATTCATTATTATTTTGCCATTATCAGCATTACATAAAGCACTCAAGATGCATGAAGGGTCACTGTTCATTATGGAGAGCAAATAAAATGGCCATATTTGTGCTGTAGACACCATGACCCCTGGTTCCTGTCACCATCCCTATAAAGAAATCTAAATCAGTAAGTTTCTCTACAATGAACAAGTTTACACTGAACCACTCTGAATGACTTTGTTTACATTTTATAGACTGAATTATAGACGGAGTGATTTCGAAGAACTGGTGGAATTCCTTTAAACACCAAAGATAAACTCAAACTGAGGGTTAAAACTAAGAGCTAGGCGTAAAAATATTTTTCACATAAAAGTGCAGGGAAATGAAGTGAATGAACGGCTCAAAAATGATTAGCAAATCTAATGCATCTTAGATCCTAGGCAAAGAGACTTCTTGCTGTGAAACAAGAGGCTGGGGTCAAAAACCTTTAAGATATTGTATTATGTAACGTCTAAGGCTAGTCTCCATAAATCTAATTCAATTTCAAGTTTATCTACAGATAAGTAACTATAGGTGTCCTCTGTTTAGATGGCCCTGACTTACCTCAGATTGATGTCATAACCTACTCAGTAATGGATCGAGGTTACATAGCACTGGAAAAAGGATCCGTTTCTCTCATGTGTCAAGCCTCCTCTAATCCTCCAGGCCAGTACATCTGGTTCTACAATAACTCAGAGATCTTCAGTGGAGCACAGCTCATCATCACCAAGGTTCTGCATGGGCATGCAGGGTACTATACCTGTCTGGCCCAGAACACTCATCTCAACACCCGCTCCAAGAAGACCATAACTCTCACCGTCTACTGTGAGTGCTCCTACACGCTACTGCCATGAGTCTGCTGGGCTATTATGTTTTGCACTCCAACTCAGCTGCCTTCTTTGGAGCTGTAGTGCTTTCCTCTTTCCTTGTCCTTAAGGTCTTAAGCAGTTTCACTCTTCCTTTCACATTTTTTATATTGCAAACTTTGCAAAATATTGTTATATAACACATTAAAGTGTTACCCACAGATTCTTCTCTAGAAGGGTTTAAATCATCTTGTCCATTTTTAACTGTTGTGCTATCCACAGTAGCTGTACAGTACACTTCTTTTTGGAATACTTTTTTATGCTGCTGTCTCTTCCTAGAAAAAGCAATCGGATCTGACCTCCTTTAGCTCACATTAAGTAGTATCACCTTTCTTCCACTTAGCTAAAATAAGCCTAATCATTAGTGATCCTGTGTCACAGTAATCTTGTTCCCACAGATCCACCAGATGGAGCTCCATCTTGTTCCATGTTTGCAGCAAACAACTACACTGACCTGGCCCTCGTCTGCTCCTGGGAGGGGGGTTACCCTCCAGCTGCTCTGAAATGGAGTCCATATGTGAATGGAGACAATCAACAAGGAGTCAGTAATGTCACTCGAATTCAGCCAGGCCCTGATACTGCTAACAACTCTGTATTCACCTGCTATGGTTCACATGTTGCACTAAATGTCACGCAGAGCTGTAGCGCCAGGACATGTGAGTATGGTACCACTGAACTTCACTGATGTCAGTCCTAACCACACAGAGGATGAATTAGTCATGTTATCTTCTGGTATAAATTTAATCAAAAATGTATGTGCAGTGGCTCTAACAATAATCTAATGTTCCCAGGGCTGCCCTATGGAGAACCCCAGTGTTTTGTATATGTAACTCGTAATAATGAGTACCTGATGCTGTCCTGTTCCTGGGAAGGTGGTTTCCCTCGGGCTCTGCTGTGGTGGGCCACCAGTTCAGGGGACAGGCAGGGTACATCTGAGGAGAACTCCAACATACTGGTGCTACGTTCCAGTGCCAACTACAGTGGCAAAGCCTTTGTGTGCCATGCCAAACACCCACTAAATAAAGAGAGCAAGATGTGTGTATTAACATTGGGTAAGAGCTGTTTATTACAATAATCAAAGCAATACTATTTAAAATTGTAAATGTAAGGAACTGCATTAGGTCACCTCACAAAGTTTCCCTGTTCTAGTCATGGGGGACTACATCACATAACTGTTACGTGTGTTTCCTCTGATTTAACTCAGATCATCTGGTAATTAGCATCAGGTAAAGTCTGTCACTATCTGAATCAGGTTTCTTAGAGCATGAATGGTATGAAATTTTGGATTGATACGGCTACTTGTGACTAGAAATGGACCAATGGGCAATCAGAATGCATGAATTGCTTTTAGATTCTGTGAAATTAGCATAAATAGCTCCCAGATATGTGGCTGAACCTGCAACATGTGGCAGCTCCCAGATATGTGGCTGCACCTGAATGGTCTATTCATAAGGCTCTTCCTTCCAGAGGCTCCAGTGTTGATGACTCAGCGCAGTGTGGTTTCTGTCTATGAGGGTAATGATGTCCTGCTCACCTGCATTCTGAGCAAAAACTATCCAGCAGCCACAGAGGTCACCTGGTACAACAACTTAAGGCAGAACGTAGGTGAAACACCCAAGAAGTATGTCCTTCAGCAAGCTGCAGCCTGGTCTAACCTGACAGTGCGGGAAACAGACAGCATGGTGGACAGTGGCCAGTACTGGTGTTCTGCTAAAAACGCTGTCGGAGGAGCAGAGATCCCTGTCAAATTGGTGGTGTTGAGTGAGTTCAGTGCAAACACATATACATACAAACCTACACCATGTCACATGGATTTCAAAGTGAATTCACTCTCAGTAATGCTTCAGAGACTTTAGCTAATTGTAACATTACTGTTTTTAAGGCCAGTAATTTGAATCTCATATGGAACACTCTGATCCTGATTTGTTGTGCCAATCACTGATTTTCTTCCCAACAGACAGAAATGATTGATGTCATTAACTTTCATTTTAATGCATACTTGATTCAGGGTACCCAATGCCTCCAAATGTCACCATCACTAAAATCACATACAGCAGCCATCAGCGGACAGATGTTACTGTGGAGTGGCTGATTCAGGCAGATGATGACCTCACTGGGTTCTTCATTGAGCTTCAGAGGCTCCCTGTAGGCAAAAGTGGCATTGTCCCTCTCTGGCAGAAAGTGGCAGCAGATCTGGATCCCAGCACTCGCAGCTACCAGATCAACAACCTGGATCCTACTGGCAAATACGCTTTCCGTGTAACAGCTGTCAATCGCCGTACCATTGGACATCCTTCAGAGATCAAGAGTCCAGGTGAGAACTTAATGAGTAATTTGACATTGCACAGGGTAGAATATCAGTTGGGTGACATGACTGATTGTTCTCCATACAATGACCTAATGTTAGGAGTACAACATTTTAATAAGCATAAACTGAAATCCAGTCCTTATGATGTTCAGTTCTTTAGGCATAACTGTCCTCCTGTTTTGTAGCTCTGCCACCTTTCAGGGCCTATTCTGCTGTGATCGGAGCAGCCATCGGAGGTATGCTTGTGGCGACAGTAGCTACTGTGCTGATCTTCATTTATGTGGTGAGGAACCGCAACAACATCCCACGTAAGTGTCCCACAGAGATATAGCAAAAATATGCCTTGTGTCATTTCCATCACCATACATTAAATGTGCTTTTCAAATGTGTTTCTTCAGGTTTTCATGACATGATATTTGGCAGGTAATAATAGCTAATACAAATATTTCAAGTCTTATTTTTTTATACAGAATTATTTAGTATGTTGACTGAATTAATATATCACTCAACTTAGTGAGTCACTCACTCGACCTATAGAAATAACAGTATAATTACAACTGATGTGCCTAAGCATATCCACTGATTAGCATTGGTATATTTCTCCTGAATCTCTGCTCTCAAAGGCAGAACAGCCAGTCCAGAGAAAATATCAACTTCCCTGAGGACGAGGTTACTGGAGAAGATGCAAGTCCTTCAGTTCCAGGTTTCAGGAGTCAGTAGAAATCAATTTTTGTGCATGTGTAGAATACACCGACATCTCCTTTTACACTCCATTAGTAATTCAGTTTTTTTCAGGTGATCCTGTGATAACGCCAAGACCCAGCTCAACAGCAACACACCTGTGCTCCTCCCCCATGAAATAAATCTCCTTCACAGCCTCAAAGACAAAAAAGCAAATAAACAGTTTGCTTATCTGCTGAAAATCTGTTTTTATGAGCAAGACATTGGCAAAAAAGCTGTGTATTTTTGTTGAAGCTAGCTGGTATTTGTAGTTTACAATCTTTAATATAGAAAGTGGCATTACTTACAATAACTGCACACAGTAGTATCTTTTAGTATTTACAACCTTAAAAAGTTGCCTGATTATAAAATAAACATCAATTGCTTTTTTTAAAGCCTTTAACCAGTGTTTTCTAGTCTTGTTTTAAAAGGTCAAGAGAATTAGCATTGACTAAAACCTGGAAACAAACTGACTCCCTTTAATATTCATTCATGATGTTTTTTTAATATTTTGTGAATTGAATGTTTGTAATAAATAAAAGTACTTTCCTTTCAAATGCATCATTTATTTTGTTACTGATTTATTTGTCAGGCAGTTTGCTCAATTTTCTGTAAGAGATCTGGCAGCATTTGAGATTGAATATATACTTATTTACAAAACTTCTGTTTATTTCAGACAAGAGATTCTGTACATAATATATTCTTCAACAAGAGGGAATGGAAGAATATTCTTCCTCTAAAATAGGAGAGATGACCGTTCATATTCAGAAAAAGGTCAAAAGAAATATGATTACTCCCTTTTGAGAAAATACAAAGTCAAAAGGTTGTTTTGTAGTTGTGAAACCATTTTGAACTCAGTATTCACTGAGTTCACTACTTCACTACTTAAAACCTAAATTTTGCAAGAATAAATTTAAAGACTGGCTTAAGAAATCTAAATTCAATGATAAAAGAGTCCATACTCTTATTTAACCATTGTGTGGTGTTTTGGTTTACCAAAAGAAAAAATTATGCAATTTATTATTATTATTTCAACCTCAGATTCCTTAGCCTTTGCTTATTTTCTGTGAAGAACATATAAAATAATACATTTTCAATGCCTTCACACTGAACACCTCCTACACATTTATATTACACATGTGGTGTTGGGTCGAACCTGCGGGGAATAAAAGTGTGGAGGTGCTGTGTCCCTTCACTCTGTTCTCCTCCTACATGGCCTAATGTTAAGGTGCGTGTGTCTGTGTGTGTATGTGTTTGTATATGTGTGTGTATGTATGTATGTGTGTGTGTGTGGGTCAGAGTTGGGATAGCTACTGAAAAATTAGTAGTTAGCTACTGAAAGTGTGAACAAGACACTGCATTTAATCATGTGCCAGAAAGAAACATACAATTGAAAAGCTGCAAATATACAAAAAAAATCACCAAAAAGTAAATATAAGTGTAAAAAACAATCAAACTTACACAACCAAAGGCATGATATCCAACATAAAATTAGACTAAGTAACAGAAATCATTCCAGGTTTTTCCGAACAAAAATCAACAAAAATAACCGTAAACAAACCAGAGAATTTTGTGCAAAGTATCGTCAACTGTTGAAACAGAACTGCTCCAATTATACATTTCAGCAAGAAATGTACAGACATTACATTTAGAGTCCTTTGTTAAACTTCAGCAACACTTTAGCCTCAAAATCCTCATCAGTGACCCTGGTCCTGTTTGGGGTCAGAATCAGGCCTGAATAATCTCTCCACTGCTGCAGATCTGTTGTGGCTCCACAGCAGAACTAGATTTTTAGGTAAAATAACATAATCCTCCTTTACTGCAAAATTGTTATAACACACAGTTCTAACAATCAGTTTTCACAAAAAACGATCTTAAACGCAGGAGTTAACACAAACTGCTAATTCACCAACCTTTAACGCTGAAGACTGATGTGCAGACTGCTGGTCACACAGCAACGCAGATAACGAAAAGGCAAAGAGAAAGATTTAAGACGAACATCAATAATTTGGAGATGAATGGACTTATTTGCAGTTGCACACTGAGACATACTTGCAGCCAAGATGGTAAAACAGACATAAAATGCTGTGGCTCCCAAGGTGGTTTCATTTTTGTTGAAAGGACAAAATGGCTCTTCTTAACATTTCAGTTGCGACCCCCTGCGTTAAGTCTACTATTAAGGGGTGATCAGCGCGTGCCCGTTTGCTGGAACTGTCCGCGGCTCAGTCAGGATTGCACCGTCACCACCAGCCCAGTTAACGGCCGCGTTCTATGGTTCAGATTTTGCGCGGATTGCCTGAAGCCTGTAGCGAAATTGAAGCAAAAATTATCACCATAGCTACACAAAAATTAGTAGGTGCTACAGCTATTAGCTACATTTCATAAAACTGTAGCGGCTACAGCTATTAGCTACAAAAATTTGTAGCTAACTACAAAAAGTAGCGGCCCCATCCCTGGTGAAGGTGGACAACATGGACAGGCTGCTGACGGCTACAGCTGCTAAAGGAGAACCCTACGCTGGTCACTTGTGATACTTTAAACATCAGGTATTTTTATATAACTTGTTATGGCTGTATTAATTTAAAAAAAAATAATATGGTGGGTCCACCAGACCACTGAGTAACAAAAACATAAACACCAAGGGTTAAAAAATACCCTCCAGTAAACAAATCTGTAGAAGGAATTTCATTACTTCAAAACTCCAGCATGTCTGTTAAATTGCTGTTCAATATTGTGCATCTGTGTTTGCTTTTGAGAGCATCTCTACTAGTGTGTTTGTTCACATTACATGAAAGCGTAACATGAGAATCTCATCAATGAATGTAGGGAGCTCTTAGTTTCCTTTACCTGGCTGAACACTATAGTGCTGTTACTTGAAACACGACTCTCTAACAGACATTCACATAATACTGACCTCAGACTGAGGGAAGGATGAGCCCACAGATGAGCAGAGTTAGTCATCATCTGTGATTAAAGTGCTTCCTTTCATGGCATGAGTGCCCACTGAAAAGCAGCTGTGTCTATTAAAGCTCTTTCTTTAATAACAGTAGTCAGTTCAGGTGACATCATGCAAGAAACGATTCATTTTGAACTATTCTGATTTTGGTTTGCTGTGGTAGCTTTCCTGAAGTGGACATGTTTAACATAAAACAGAAAAACGTAGCCAAACTGGAAACTAGAAAATAAATTATCTGTGATAGTTTGTATTTTAATTATGCACAAAAATAAGTACGTAAATGATCATGTTTGAACAGAGTTTGTGTTGGTGGGTTCCCGGCCTTCTGAGTGTAATGGAATGTTAGAATGGCTATCCATCCCTGCTCCTTAAATAATGCATGATGCAGAGGTATCATCGCGTCATCCTAAACCCTGTCTCTCCTCTCTACTCTACTGCATTCCTACAGGTGGAGGGGGCGATTGGTGAATAATTCAAGCCAAATCAGTTTACAGAGACTCGATCAGCTCCCACTCAGTTTCTCACTGCCTGTTTACACTAGCCGGACTCAGTGCTTGGACAGAACGCTGTACGTTTTCAGGATATTCTTCATTGTTTTTTGTGACTTTTGAGGACTTTTTTCCCCATAAAGGACACGGCACTGGTCACCCGAGCGTCATGGCACCATGGTACACAGACTGTTAGGGTTGCCAGGCTTCTCCCTAACTGTTTTGCTGCTGCCTCTCTTCCTGAATGGTAAGAGGTCATACACAGAGGTCAACTGCAATTTTACAGATATTTTTTCTCATTAAACAATTTTTAGTTTACAGAAATTTTGGTCAATATTTTCAATGCAGCTTTGTTATATTTCATTCAAATAATGTTTTATTTTACATATAACCAGCAAATCTCTAAACGTCAGAAATATTGCTTGTGTAGAAATGTAGTGCATAATATTATTGTAAATGATTCATTATTGTCACACAATTTATTTTTTTAAGTGGTGATTTCATGAATGAGGTGCCATGTGTGTCCCACTGATATTATATTTACAAATATATATGCTAAGATGAAAAACATTTTGAACATTGGAGAAGTGCCCATCACAATAACTTATGTTCATGTTTTAGACAACTTATGAGAAGTCTGTCTGTAGCACTTGGAAAACAATATTTTGTCTGTTCCAGGTCACTATAATGACACTTCACCTTGAAATATAATCATTAAAATACTTCAAAGCTCTTTTTATTTTTGCATTTATATGGGAATATGTAATGTTTAATTCTTCTTTTTTCATGAGTCATCCATTATAGGTTTTATACAATTTTTAGTCCCTCAATATTCTCTCAACTCTTACCAGAACACATTCACCCATATGAAATATGTGGAATAATTTGTATCATCCAAAGTTCTCAGATTCTTTTCTCTTCATTTTCAGTGATACCATGATACTGACTGGCAGTCACTTTGAAAGCATAATCCTGTTACCAAAATTAATGATTAAGTATCTTAAACCAAATTAAGTAACTTATTCATTTAGAAAATACAATTTAATGTAGTCATTAGAATGTCCTTAATGTCCTTGAGTCTTTAGTATGTTAACCACATTTTGTATATTTGCTAATTCTGTGCTTAAAACGGTCACTATTCCTCATTTAAGCCACTGACGGCAAAGAAAACCTTGTAAAACATGAGATATTGTTAACACATTTTTTAATGGTTGAATACGTTTTTCCTGCATTCAACGTTGAAAAATAGTTGATTTTTTTCTAAGAGTTACAATGGCAAAATGGCACCTCAAACATTTTAACATTAATTTCAGATCATTTTTTAGGCATAAATATTGTCCGCAGGCAGTGAATTAGAAGGGTACCCTAGACCCTAGCCACACTGAGGTAGCTCAGTAACTCGATAGCCTAAATGGTAATAATATCCTAGGTCACCGCTATCCCGCGTCACTGAGCTTTGTGCATGCATGTATTTGTGGTCTGTAAAATGCATAGAAATTTACAATGTTTCGTCTGGTGAATGCTTTAATATACTGTCCTCTCAGGGCTAGAGATCTTGGATCCAGGGCAAGTGGTGTACAGAGAGACCAGGACCAATGGAGTGGTGGATAAAGGAGTGATTCTGGAATGTGGCACCACCCTCCCTGATGTCTACATCTGGGGCTTCACCAAACCAGGCACAGACACTATTCGAGCTGTGGTGTACAACTTTGGCAAGGGTCCAAAGCTGCAGCAACTAGCCAAAGATTTGGGTGATCTGAATGTCATCACCAACAGTGCATCTCTGTCCATAGAGAAGCTTCCTCTAGCTGCAGAGGGTTTGTACACCTGCCAGGCTCTGTACGACACTGCTGAGGGAGCCAGACTCTACTACTACTTTGTGTATCTGCGGGTTCTAGGTTAGTGCTGACAAAGAAAATCTGACAAAGATTAATCAGTGTGGCATTTCAGCCTAAATTTAGCATTTAATGTATTTGTCATGTTCTGCAGGATGCTGTACGCAGTATTGCCCTTTGCCTCACGATTTTGGATCCTTTTTGCCTTTTCATCCATCACTGTTTTCTCACTACTATACCCAGCAGGCATTGTGCAAATATGTCATACAATCATTGGGAATCCCCTGTAAAGACTGCTAGCATCTGACGAAGTAGCCTATGAATACAGACATGATATCCATCTTCCTAGCAGTAATGGTAGATAACTGGCTTGGTTTTTCATTAGCCAGTTAGCAGGGAGGAAAAAAAAACAGGAAAAAACACTTCAAACAACCTGCCCCAAAGCACCTGTAGTTCCGTCCATCATCAAAATACATAAATTAAAGAGGGATTTGCTCATCTTTAAACCAGAAAATCCCTCTCCTGGGAATACTGTGGCACTGCTGTAGGGCACAAGTACGCATACTTTTCAACAGAGGCTGTAATGGTTACATTTTCCATTTTGGCCAGAGTGTCCCTTTAAATGAGACGCACTGAAGGGAACAAAGTACCACTGTGATTATTTAAGAGAACTATTTGACATGGTTTTAGTTTTTAGGCAACTATTTAAGTATCATTAGCTGTTGATCATTATTTTTGGGTTTTACTTTCTGTTTTATAAATGGTTCCATCTAAACTTAAACGCAAGGACCAACAGTAAATTACATATTGAACCATCTAAGAGCTCTAAAACCATCTAACAGCTCTAAAATGGCCAAGTTACACTGTTTATGATAGTTCATATAGAATGATGGGTAACACTTTATTTGGAGTGGTCCTTTGTAGATGATTAATAAACTCTAAACAGAATATCAGTAACACATTAACAACATATCAGTGAAGTAGCAGTAGTGAAGCACCTGAATACTTTGAAGTGAATATCTTGCAGATGTACTGCTGATGCATTAATTACATTAAGTAAATGTATTAATTTGTTAATGTTAATATGTTACTTCCATTACACAAAACCTAGCCTTACCCAACCTTACCCAAAACCTAACCCTCACCCTAGCCGTAATCCTAACCCTAACCTTAACCTTAACCCAAAACCTAATCCTAACTCTCATACGTTTTTTAACAACTGAGAGTCTGTTGAGTGTTTTTTTCATCTCATAAGGACCACTCAAAAAATAAATTGTCACTGAATGATCTTTTGGAAGCAGTATTTTCTTATGTTAACAAACTGATCTCTTTAATACTGCAATGTGCTCCACAGTGCCTGTGTCCAAACCCTATATTCTACTGAGTGACTCCTCACCTGTGGAAGGCACATCAGTGTGGATGCGCTGTGGTCTGGAGAATGGCACAGACCCTGTTAACTACATATGGGAGCAGGAGAGCCGCAGTGGGCTGGTAACTACACTGGCTGAGAGCAATCGCAGTCTGGTCAATGTCACCTGGGTCACCCGCAACCACACCGGCTGGTACAGGTGCCTGGCCAGGAACGAGGTCAACCAGCAGCGCAGTGACCGTATCTGGTTAGATGTCATATGTGAGTAAAAACTGTCATGCCTGACAACCTATGCTTCCTTTGGGACATTCCATGCAGTGCTGATCTTTGCTTGATGTCCTCTATTTAGATGGTCCAGACTTGCCTCAGATCGATGTTACACCTTACTCAGTAACAGAGCGAGGCTACTCAGCCCTGGAGAAAGAGACTGTTTCCCTTATGTGTCAAGCCCTCTCTAATCCTCCCAGTCAGTATGTCTGGTTCTACAACAACTCCCAGGTCTACACTGGACCACAGCTCACCATCACCAAGATTCTGCGAATGCATACTGGCAACTATGCCTGTCTGGCTCAGAACACTTACCTCAACACCCGCTCCAAGAAAACCATCACTCTCACCGTCTACTGTGAGTGCTCCTGTATGCCATAAGTCATGGTCAACTGCTCTGTCCATGAAACCTCTTTGGGTAGACTTCTAGTGTGCTTTCATCTCAGCTTTCATTTGCTTTCCATCATTCCCACCTATGCTTCCTCTTATACCTTCTCCCACACGCACACATGCACACACACAAAAACACTATCAAACGTCCACTGTGGCTGACTGGGGATATCCAGCAAAACAGTGTCTTCTACCTGTGACAAGCATCTGGAGGAGGTGAAGGCAATTTTCTGACAGTTCTGGAAAGACACACAAGGTATAAAGCTGGTATGATTATTCTCACCATTTCATGACAAGCAATAAATGGGTGTCTTGTCATGATTTCAGAAATGCATAAAGATCAAAATGAATACACCTTGAAATATTTTTCTCTTTCCTCCTAAAATTAGGCTGAGTGCACAGGACAGCACTATCCAGCTGCTTGTAATGTCTAGAATAGTCAAATACTTTGTTATGTGTGAGTATTAGACAATACAAAAATACCTCAATTCAAAAAATGTTGGGACTGTATGGGAACTAGATGAAGAAAAAAAGGTTTCCACCAAATATAGGTGAAGTTAAAAAAGTTCTCTCTACAAATGTGCAACACTCACTCTATCCTCAGCAAAAGGGCAACTTTATTTGGTTAAAGCCATGACGTTTCGGCTCACATGCAAGGCCTCCATCAGATGTGAAAAAAAACACAAAAGAACACCATTTCAAAAAGCTGTCAAGTTAAACAGCTGTAGCTCAGTAAATAGAGAAAAAGTCTTATCTCCTCGTCAGCCCCATCTAGTGTCCACAGATGGAAGAGACACATCACTCTCAAAAGATCATCAGTATGTGAACTACAAATAAAAACAGAAAGCATTGATTTGTAAATCCACTTTGACCTGTATTTAAATAAAAATTGTACAAAGACAAGATATTTAGGTGACGCTTTATTCTGAGTGCTTTTTAGATGAAACAAACACTTAACGGACTCTCAGTAACGAGTTAGAGGGTTAGATTTTCGGTTGAGGTTAAGGTTAGGGTTAGGTTTTGGTTTTGGGTAATGGAAGTAACACTAACAGTACATCTACTTAATGTAAGTAATGTATCAGCAGTACATCTTCAATATATTTACTTCAATGCATTCAGGTGCTTCACTACTGCTACTTCACTGATGTGTTGTTGATGTTTTACTGATAAACTGTTAAGAGTTAGTTAATAATCTACAAAGCACCACTCGAAATAAATTGTTACCGATATTTAGTATTTTACTTTATCAGCTTTAGTGTTTTTTTTTCTTTTTTTCCAAAATATATGCTCATTCTGAAACTGATGCTTGCAATACTTTCCAAAAAAGTTATGAAAGCAGCAATTTAAGACTAGTAAAGTTGTGAAAAGAGGTGATGCAATCATGTTTGGGTAAAAGGAGCATCCAGGACAGGCCTAGTTCACATCCAGGTGATGTAGTAACTTTCTGTAAGGGAGCTTTTGGAGGCATTAAACTTTTCAGACGTCTGGTTCCTATCATCACCACTGAGAACAACTCTGACTCTGCGAGTTTGTCTGTGGTCGAGTCAACCTTTCATATTGTTTAAGGAAATATTGGACGTGGTATTTTCCAGGCCAAAGAAGAAAACCTTCCACATGGTCACTAACATAAAATTTAAATATCATGTTTTTGTCCTATTTTCAATTGAATACAGACCAAACAGAATTTACTAATGACCGCTTTTTGTTTTTTTAGCGGTTTACATACTGTCCCATCCTGTTTTTTGGAATTGAGGTTTGTACTGTATATCATATTTATTAGTATTAAGACCATTTATGTTGCACATTAACTGTTATCTGCATACCATGCCTAATATACACTGCCACACTTACCGAGTAAAGTGACATATCGTTTCTGATTATTTAAGCTACATAGCAGCTGACTTCCTGGCTTAAATCCATGGAGCATCACTTTGCCTCTAGCCCTTGTTTCTACTGGCCCTGGTTACGCTGGATCCCTACTATTTTATACAATGGGTTTCTTTCCACAGATCCACCAGACGGTGCACCATATTGTTCCATCTTGCCAGTTAATAACTACAATGACTTGGCCCTCTTCTGTTCATGGGAGGGGGGTTACCCTCCAGCTACGCTCAGCTGGAGCCAATCTGTACATGGAAACAACATCCAAGGAACCACTAACATCACCTGGATTCAGCCAGGGCCTGAGACCACTAATAACTCTGTATTCACTTGCTATGGCTCCCATCTTACATTAAATGTCGCTCAACGCTGTAGCACTAAGACATGTGAGTACCATGACTGAACTAACCTCAGTCCTAACTATCTTTATGAATTTAGAGCTTTACATTTCATTGGTATGAATTGAATAATTTGTGACCCAAAGTTTCTCAACTGAGTTTTAGGTGCTATTGAGCAAAAACAGAGAAAAAATTGTCCTTATTGTTCCAAGGGCTGCCCTATGGAGAACCCCAGTGTTCAGCATACACAACTCGCAATAATGAATACTTGATGCTGTCTTGCTCCTGGGAGGGTGGTTTCCCTCGGGCTCTGCTGTGGTGGGCCTCTGATTCAGTAGACATGCAGGGCACGTCTGAGGAGAACTCCAACATCCTTGTGTTACGCTCCAGTTCCACCTACAGTGGCAAAGCCTTTGTGTGCCATGCCAAACACCCACTAAATAAAGAGAGCAAGATGTGTGTGTTAAAACTGGGTAAGTAAAAAATATCAGGACACAATGTTTGATTGCTGTTTAAAGTAGTTCATAGTGAAAGGATCAATTTATTTTATAGTGCAGTCGTTCTTTACTCTTCTCTTTCTTCCAGAGGCACCAGTCTTAATGACTCAGCGCAGTGTGGTTTCAGTGTACGAGGGCAATGATGTCCAGCTCACCTGCATACTGAGCAAAAACTACCCTGCAGTAACTGAGATCACCTGGTACAACAACATGAAGCAGAAGGTAGATAACAGTGACACACCCAAAAAGTACATCCTTCAGCAAGCTGCAGCCTGGTCCAACCTGACGGTGCGGGAGACAGATGGCACAGTTGACAGTGGTCAGTACTGGTGTTCTGCTATCAATGCTGTTGGAGGAGCAGAGATCCCCATCAGGCTGCTGGTGATGAGTAAGTGTACTATAAGATAAGGCAGACACAGATTTACAGATTCTATAATTGCATAGAATAAACTGCAGTTTGATTGTCTCTCAGATCAAAATGATTAGAGGAACGATCCTAGGTGCAATGTTCTGTTTTTGCTTAATGATGTACATCTTGTTTATACCCCCTTGGGGACAAACTCTTTGTCACAGAGGAGTGGCTTACATGCTTAAGTGAACCTCATAGTAGGGTTTTTGATGAACAGATCTGAGGAAATAGGTCACACAAGGATTAATCCCACAGATCCAGAACCCCAGGTAAGGTAGAAAAAAACAAAGTGTACACCACCCCGGAGTCATGCCTGGGGGTCATGTCCATTGGCAGGAGTTTGGTAACCAGGCCAACTGTGTAACCCAGGCTCAGCCATAAATAGCACAGTAAAGTCATCTTGTGGGCTCTCCTTTTGCTAAGTCACTTGGTTAGCAAACTTAGCAAACTTAGTTTTGCTAAGTTTGCTAAGGCTCTCCTTTTGCTAAGTCAATGGTAGGGATCAGGTGCTATGCCAGTCAACAAGAGATGACTTGTTATGTAACTGACTGTTACATAGACTGGACCTTTGCAAATAGACACTGGCTTTTGAAATGAGGAATGTCATATCTCTAGTGCAGAAAGAGTCTGAGTTGGTGGGTCTGGTACCAAATATCCTGACTCAGGGTGGTTTTCATCCTACTCTGGAGTTACCACAGCAGAAACATCCCAAGTAAGTGTGGGGATACTGCCAAATCCCAATGGCTGTGCAATGGAAGTTGTCTCAATGGGTAAGAGGGTTACTTCTATAAGACTGTGTGTCTCAGGAACAAAAACTCTGACTCTTCTCACTAAATAACAATTCAAAGAATTCAGCCTGGAGAAGGATGTTTCTCCCACTTACTCTGCGTAGTTCCACTGGAACCTTCAATGTGCATATATCCAGAATGATTGAGATACATGGAGATATAATTGGGATACAATTGAAAAGAATGGCCTCCCCTATCCCAACCTGAGCAGTGAACAGTTAGGCCTCAAGTCATACTCTGTCAGGAAGTCAGACTGTCAGAAAACACCATGTTCCAACATAACGTTGCCCATAACTACACTTTGTACCAGAGCACCTTGAGCTAAAGGTCAATGGACACTCAGGTGAAGGGAAGGACAAAGCTGTCATTACTGGATCACTACTTGGTGAGGAGTTGGATTTGGTGCATGGGGCAGGTGTACAGGGTAAACCCAGAAGGTCCGTCTGCAAACAGCCAGCTTCAGTTGGGAGGTATCAGATAGCTACAAGGGCTACTGTAATAGCATCTATGCAAGTGAAAGCTTTGGCATAGGAGTTTACAGTGGCCATGGAGAAAGACTTTTAGACAACCTCAGAAAACTTCAGGCACTTCAAGAGGGGAAGATGAGACCTCTCCCAAGTTATTCTTGGGCAGTCTTGAGTGCTACAGGGGATATTACTGAAGAATAAAAGGAGCACTCCTAAATCTGGTAGATATGGCTTCCTATCATTGTGACTATTTTGGTGTTACCATCATAGTGATGGGGCTGCAGGGGTGGATAAAATTCATCTAGAAATGTTGAATGCATTGGGCAGGGCTGAGTGGTTGCATGTTGCATGGAGATTGGATACAGTGCCTCAGGACTGGTCCCAGTTTTCAAAAAAGGGGACAAGCAGGGGCAACCAAAGTTGCATTTCAGAAATTATTTCACCCAGTTGGCTTGAGAACATCTGGAGAAGAGCTGAAAACCGTGGCCAGAGACAGATTCTGGGCAGACCTATTGCCATGGCGACCTTCTCCAGGAAACATATGGAAACAGATCTGCAAACCTGTTTGTTGCAGTCATCTTTTTCTACCTGAAAATGATTGCAGTGCATTGGACCCTCTCTCCACATGTAGAGATGAGCAGCTCATTAACACGTACGGTTTTTGTGAACAAAACTGAAGCTAAACTCTTGAGTACATGTTTAGGGACCAGAATACAAATGAAGGGTTTATTTAATATCCAAGACCACGGCTGCACCTTTAATCGTAACCAAAGGCCAAGTTAAAAAATTCACTGGCAGACAATGAATAACAAGTTCCAGACTAAGAGCTGCTACCAGGAACTTGACTGGCTACCAGTTGAGGCCTCCGTGACAAAGGAATCAATAGTACCGTTTCCAGTTATATATGATAGTGAGAGATATTCTTGAAAAGAAAGCAATAGCAAATTGTGATCAAATTACGATTTTCACTGAATCTACATAATCTTAAAATACAGTCATTTTCACAAGACAATCATGTTACTTACCACTACCTACTGAATTTTATTTTTCATCTGATTCAGGATATCCAATGCCTCCAAACGTGACCATCAGTAGGATCATATACAGCAGCCATCGACGTACAGATGTTAATGTGGAGTGGCTGATTCAAGCCGATGGTAACATCACCGGGTTCTTCATTGAGCACCAAAGGCTCTCTGGCCCTCTCTGGCAGAAAGTGGCAGTAGATTTGGAGCCCAGCACCCGCAACTACCAGATCAACAACCTGGATCCCTTTGGCAAATATGCTTTCCGCATTACAGCTGTCAATCACCGAACCATCGGACATCCCTCAGAGGTCAAGAGCCCAGGTGGGAACTGATGCGACAATGCATCAATTTTATAGTTTACATTCCGTGTTCAGGAACCACTAAAGTACACATGGCCACTTTCTCACTAGGAGGAGCGGTCAGCTGGGTCTCTCTCCTCTGTTGCCAAAAAAGCATCATCCAGTAAGTCATCCTCATGGTTGAGCACTGTGCATGCTCCTCCATTTCATAAAGATGAGAGGGGGTGTTTATAGTGCTACCATACACCCTTCATTCAGACTGGTGGTACTGTCATGCAACAGGGGAGAGAGCTATAAAACTTATGACACAGAAAAACTAGGAGAATAAATCAAACAAAAAAATTTAACATAAAACACATAAGTCGATTGACAAGCACTCAGTTTCTCAAAAGCATCCAATGACATCCGATGGTTATGACCTTGAACATCAATCTAAAAAGTTGTTAAGGCTCTGATGCTCTTGTGAAACTAAGCATGGCTCTGTAATATTTACTGTTTTATACAAGCTTTTGCTTTAATGCCAGTAGTTGTGAGCAAACAATGTGAAATGTCTCTTTTTTGTTTGTCTACCCAGGTGAAATGCACAATTCAGCCACTTCATCACAAATGCAAATCTCTATACATTACTGCCACTCTATGCCTTTACTTGATCTAGTCCTTACCTACTTCCTTTGACCTTTCCTTGTTTTGCTGTTGGACTGTTATTTTTTCTCTTTTTTTTTAACAGTTGATGAGTCTAGGTAAAATATTAGTGAAGGATACTAAATTAGTGAAGACACTCTAAATTTAAAAAAAAGATAACATTGTGGAAAATCTACGCCCTGAAGTAGATCAGATTGGCTCTCAGAGCATCATGGCTTCTCGTTCAAAAATGAACGATGATTTTTATATAATGCATCTTTACTTTCAGCTCTGTGAGGCTGAAATTGATCTGCTGTTTTCCAGCTCTCCCAGGCTTTAATGCCTATCCTGCTGTTATTGGAGCAGCCATAGGAGGCATGCTTGTGGCAACAATAGCTACTGTATTGCTCTTCATGTATGTAGTGAGGAACCGCAACAACAACCCACGTGAGTGTCTCATCACACAGCAAGCATGTTTTTATACAGAAAGTCCAGTTTAACACAGCTGTGATTTTTTTTTTTGTCCTTGTTCGTCCACACTAATGTGTTTTTCAAACTCATTTCTGCAGGACTTCATGATTTGATATTTGGCAGGTATGGATTACAATCTGGATAATTATTTCTTAGTTGATAATTTTGTAAATTGCACCTAACGTAGAGGGCAAATGAAGCTGGTGTATATCTATGTATAAAGGTAGAAGCATTTGGTCTTTCAGGCAGAACAGCCAGTCCAGAGAAAATATCAACTACCCTGAGGATGAGGTTGTTGGCGGAGCAGAAGGAGAGGGAGACCGAGGAGAGACGAGCCCCTCCACTAGTCCAGGTAGTGCAAACCTACACAATTTTTTGTTGAATTGTGTTACAAAATTGGTCCAGGGCTAGCAGCAGAATTTAGATCTTTACCTCTCTAAAACTTAATTCTGAGAACGAGCATTAACTTCATATTTCTGTAAATGCTTGACTTTGTCAGTATCTCCAAACGTGACTTAGTTCTACACCCCCATGTAGAAAGTGAGTTCTCCTAGCTTGAGGCCAGTCAGTCCCTTCCATGAGAACAAAGTATACTCATAAAGCCGCTCCTGAATGTTACATTAAGTGTTGGCTACAAAATGCTGCTTTAAATGTTAAATACTGTGCTGCACATGGAAAAGTCCTAGGTTGTTTTTACTGCAAGGAGCCATGTTCACTTTGAGTGAATATCAATCCTCCGTGAGAAAAAAATGTAAATATAAGTTAACGCTGTCTTTTCCAGGACCATCTATGGCACTACCACGACCCACTGCGACACCCACCAACCTGCCCCCAGGGGATGAACCAGTTAACGTCACCATCACTGTGATGGCCTCAAGCTAGAGTTTCAATATACAGCACACTACAGACTTCTTCAATCTGAACACTGAAATCTTACCTGGAGAATTCATGATTCTGCATTTACAATAACGTGGACACTGTTTAGAGACTGGTTTTGTACTACAAGGTAGTTTTAGGTAGAATTTTGAAGTCATGTTTACTCGCTCATTATCAAGCCACTCTTATTGCATCACTGTAGCATTTTCGGAACTGTACTTTCGATAGAAATACAATTCTAGCATTAGCAGACCTGGTCACAAATACGTTGTTTATTTCTGAAAACATTTTCTACTGACAGTCTTTGAAAACAGTCAAAACTGATCCATAAAAGTCATAAGCATTGTGTGTTACAATACTCTACAGTTCTAACAGTCTCATTCACAATACTTTTTTCTTATGACTGGATAAACTGAGTAAAAGTTTGATATTTTGAAACTGAACCATTTGTAAACAATAAAGTTACACTATTTTCTGATTTCTCTGGGTTCCTTCATTTTGGTTTTAATTCAGTCAACTAGATATCAAACTACAATAAGCAGCTTCATGCTATTAAAATGACAAGCTTGTTGTAAGCTATTTTCAACATCTTTCAAACATGCACTGTCAAGTACTGTCAAGACGGTTGCATCTTTTTATATTTTTGCAACTACATTTATTGTCAATTCTTCTAACATGACCAGCTGAGTAAACCTTTAAAAAGAGTGAGGAACAAACAATGTTCACATGTTGTTTTAACACTAAAAAGGATTTAAAAAATACCTCACTCTTGCTAACAAACTGGAGGCACTGGTCAGATTACACATAGTGTTACATGATGTACAAACATACATAAGAACAAGACATACAACAAAGACAAAGTGTGTATGTGTGTGTTTAGTTGCATTAATTAATTTATGTAAAAGGAACAGGAACCTTTTGGTTACTTATGATGTCAGACAGCTTCTGTTTGAGTTTCAGGAATATCCTTTTGAATTCCAAGCCATCACCCTGAAAATGAAAAAGGTTTAGAGACTGAGTATTTAGGTATTCTCAAGCAATTACATCCTCATAGCTGCCAGCAATCACACTTCATAGATGATGCTGTAACTGAAATCAACACTGTCATCAGGTACTTTCCTTGAAAAACTAAATGTTTTCCTTTACCTTTGATAGTCTAAAATCTACCAGAATACGTTCTTCCATCTCCAAGAAGTGCACTTTGAAGATCAGCTTGTTGTTACGGCGATCCATTGTGGACACTGTTGCCTGATATTCAAAGAGAAACAGAGAACATTTTTAAAGTAAAAACACCTGTTTATATTCAGTCATAAAGACAGGTATATGAGTTAATGTCCAAGATATCTGTACGGTACCTGGTTTGTGCAAGTCTGTTTCCATGTGTAGCTCATGGCAATACAGGCATCACGAAGGGCAGCGCAGGATTTCTCTGCATTCAGGGTAGTGAAGAACCTGGTCATCCTCCTCACTAACCTCTGCCATGGGTTCTGTGGAAAACAGTTCCTTTAGAGCAATTCTTATATGCAGAATAACAATGCATTTAGGCACTTCAATAAAGCCCAGTACACATAAAGGTGTTGTGATTATTACAGAGAAATTACTTAAATATCTAGCAAAGGAAGGTTTTATCGTTAATAAGATTAAAAGTGGCTCAGAATTCTGTTCCAACATTCCAGCTATAGTATCATTAATGCAAGCTTCTCACTGCTTGACATCAATTTATTTCATGATATTTACTAGTCGTTAAAACATCACTACTTTTTCATGAAAATACTACTTCTGTGCACTACATGTGCTATATAAAAACTGCCATATATGAACATAGACAGGAACCAAAAAAACAGAATGATAAATGCTTAATAGCTATAAACAAAGCACTTATAAACCTAGGAAACAAATAAGAAAAACTTTATAGGCACACTTTGAACATTTAATGAAAATATATCTAAAATCTAGCCAAAGTATGAGAACTCACAGAGCTTGTAAATATTAGTGGAAAACAACATTAGCAGGAAAACAACATCTGAACAGAACCATATATGTAGCACATCAGCATGATTACCTGGCTGGCACCTGGAGTGCCCAGCAATTGGCTGCCCAGTAGCATGTGGTCAGGGCAGGCAGGCTGAGAAAAGCTGACCTGACCTCCTTCAGTGTGTACTACATCCTCCCTAACCTCCCATAACCCTTGAGGCTCTGGCTGAGAGCTGGAAATCTGCACCCGGTCATCACTGAGGAAACACAGATGCTGTCAGTCAGGGATGTGGTCCTTATCAAATCATTGTAATAGTTTCTCTCGAACAAATCATTCTTCTATGCTGACAGGTACTGAAATGATTCAACTATCTTAGTACTTAGCTCCAGACCTGTTTGTTCGTGCCAGCTGCAACTGCTCAGAATCAGACCTCAGCATCTTGGTCAGTGGTCCATGTACATCATTCTGCCGTTTTACTCCTGAAGCAACAGCACAAAAACCATGAGCCCATTACATCAATATGAATTCCCCTACAGACAGCTGTAAACATGGTCAAAAATTTACATATATGTGAAGAATTAAAGCTGTGCAAATATCATGGGAGGCAGAGCCGCTCCTGGCTCTAAAATATCATAAGGCCATAAAGCCCACAATCTCAGTTAGATCAGTTGTTGTCGCCAAATGTATGTCATAAAATCTGGCCAATCAGTTAAATATGTCAATGCTAAGCGAACTAAAACTAAAACTCAACAATAGACAATTTTCTGCTTTAGTCCAGTCCAGGGGAAGAAAACTACAAATACTGATGTACCTAGCTTTCTGTATAAGAACATATAAGAACATGTGAAACCTATTCAGCCAGGCACCTGATTTGAAGCTTCGACTGAACCAGCGGTGTTTTTTAATATCAGGAATGGTCATTCTGTCCTCAGGACTATGTAGCAGTATCTTCATTAACAGACCTATAAATAAGGCAAAGAGGTGTGGAGTTCAGAAAGGACACAAAGAGCTATGAAAAGAGGAAAAAAAGGTCACTATTTTAAATTATCAATACTATGAACTATACTGTCAATTACCAAGGGGCACTGAATCAATTTTCCTCCATGGTGTAAGGTAGGTTTTCTTCTGTAACCAATCAAAATACTCCTGACAGCTTTCACTTGGTTGATCCCATGGTAGCTCTGTAAAAGCAGACAAAAGCGTCAGAGACAGAACAGCAAAATACTTGGTGGACTAACACTAACCACCGTTGCTTCTCTTTAAAGAAAAAAAAACAGGATGGTTTCTCCTCACCTCCAGCCAGCATAGCAGTAAGCACAATACCACACGCCCAGACGTCTGCAGGCTGAGCATGGAACTCAGGGCGAGACATCAGCTCTGGAGCCACATATGGCAGCGTGCCACACAGCCGAGTCAACAAACGCTCTCGCCCACGGTGGCGGAACATGGTAGCTAGCCCAAAATCTGAGATCTTCAGATTATCTGAGGAAGATAAAATGAACAAACAATAAACATCCAATCTTGGGTAAGACTACATTTTTATTCTAGTCCATTAAAACTAGTCACCTTTGTCATCTAACAAGATGTTTTCTGGCTTGATGTCCCGATGTGTGATCCCAATACCATGTAGATATTCCTGTGTGAAGAAAAAGATCCAGAAAAACATCCTAAGTGATACAGTTTAACATGATTTGTCAAAGGCAGCACAGATAATAGGGCTAGCCCAAATAATTCAAAGACTTGAGTATTCATTCATTTCTTCATTGAGTTTACGGAATAACAAAAATTTGAGCCTAAAACACATTTCATCAGCAAAGCATTCTAAATAAAACAGTTCTTCTTAGGAAAGCATCAAAACATGCAGAGTGGAACTAAATCATCGTATCTATGAGGGACATAAGACTGTTCAAACTGTGTATCAATCAAGAGAGGGCATGACATTCAAAAACTTTTCCAGTATAAGTTTGATATTACAACACAGTCTGATATGCAGAACACAGCAAAACAGAAGCGGGAAGGAAAGCTGCTGCTGACACAACAACGCCATCTGCAGCTCCAACTTTTGAAATGACAAAAAATACAAAGGACAATGCAAAAGTGCAAAAAAGAACTACAAAATACTTTAAGTCACTGCCTTGGATAAATAACCGTTCTCTGCTGTTGAAGAATGTAAGTTCACTGGTCATACTGGATAGCAGATAAAATGGTGATATTTGTAGTGTAGACATATGGATGTCTGGTTCCTAGTACTACAACGGTGAATAATTTTGACTCTGTAAATTTGTCTTGAAGGGAGCATTTCACACCAAACCACACTGAATGATTTTGTTTACATCTAAACAGTTGAATGATTAAATATTTTATTAAATAGTTCCCCTTTAATGTCTGCTCAGTTCTGTCCTACTGAAAGTTATTGAAAGCAGATTCAATCAATAACAAAAGTGTATTTTATTTATTTACTAGTTTGTGGTTTGTATGTTTAGTATTTATATCTTTGAATAAACATACATTTTAAAAACAAACACACAAAATTTTAGCTTTTCTGGCCAAGAATTTCAGAGCATCACTAATTGTTATATATTATTAATATATTATTAATTGTTATTAAATTATAGCAAGCTGAGCTGAATACATCATAAATTCATGCCAATTATCCACGTCACCTTGCCTCAGAGTGCAACAAACTGCACTGCTTAACATGTGGCCACTGTAACTAAAAAAACTCCTACCTCAGGAAGAAATCATGTGTACAAGCACTTTAAATTATCTGACAATCCGAAAAACGGTGAATGACAGGATTCATTTTTTGTTTATTACAGTAAGAGGATGGTATTTTAAGGCACAGCAAGTCACAGCACAAACATGTAAGTACAGAGATACTAATCAAACTGAGGAGCTCAGAGCCTCAACCCTGTTTGTTGTGGTGAGTTCTGGCAGTGCATAAGGAGGGAGCACTAGCACTGTGGCTGTCATGGTGCTTCTAGTCTGGCATGTGGGTGAATTCCACTGAAGCCAACAACCCTTTAGGCCTTTAGTTCAAGAGCCACATACCACAGAGTGTAAATGATCAAAGTTTCAGTGGTAACTTACTTAAAATCATTAAGTAAGCTAATTATGCAAAGTGGATATTATTGCTTTTTAAGAGTGACTCTGAAAACGAGTAGTCAGAAATACCAATGAGTATCTGATGCCTGTAAAATGCTGTTCAGGTCAGCCCTAAATGATAACAAAACACTGCCACTCACCACTCCTCCTATCAGCTGTTGAAAAAACCTGTGAGCCTCTTTTTCTGGCATCCCCACATCCGGTTCTGTGACAAAAGAGCACAACTGTTCAACTACTCACAAATATGTGTTAAACAGACTAACAGCAACTTAGTCTCACTTTACAGCATGATTACATCAATGTTTCCTGCTCTCACCTATTCTATCAAAAAGCTCTCCACCACTGCAATATTCCAGGAAGATGTACTGGACCGGACCCTCGCTCCTGTGCCCAAAGAAGCGCACTATATTGGGATGTGAAAGCATCTTGTGCACACACACCTCTTTTTTCACATTGTCTAGACAGTCTTTGGCTCTGGACGTATCAACAACTTTCACTGCCACTGCTTCTTCTGTCTTTCTGTTGACCAATAGACGCACCCTAAAAAAACAAACAAACAAAAAAAGGCATAAAAAGAGGTCACAGGGCAGAATGCTGAGAATGGCAAGAGGACAAAAAGACACAGGACGAATACTTACTCGCCGTAAGCACCCTCTCCAAGGGTCTGCACCAAATCCCAGTCTTGAACGAAAGGCACAGCCATGATCTGAGGACATATGTAACACAAGGTGAGGAGGCCAGGTACACTGTTTACAACGAATTTCTGATTCTGAAGGATAAATCTGATAAACATTTATAAATGTGGGATGAATTCAGTCTAGGGGTGAAATGCTGAGGTAACCATCAGGCAACATTAACTAGATCTTACAGTACCTGTTTTCTTGTTTAATAAAATTTCTGATTCTAAGGAGATTCAGTCTGATTGTCTATATTTTGATACTTTTAAGAACTATCATGATATGCAGTCTATTTAAAAGTATTTTAACACAGGGCTGCCTAAAGTGTGGCCAAATATGCTTCGTGGGGACAACAAAAAAGCTGCCGTAACCACACCTCCTCACCCGATGAAAAAACATACATGTTTTTGAAGATATACATAAAGCTTACTACATTTGTATTTCCCATTTAAATTGCATTTTAGTATCAACATGTAGTGCACTGTTATAGAATATATTTTTAAAAAACCTGACTTTAAACCTGTCTTCCTTGTCTTTTTTGACTCTCGGCCCACCCCATAAAAAAGTCAAGCTCCCATTTGAATGTATGATCAGAACTGATTCTGACAAAGCTTGAGACTTACTTAGAGCTCCACTCCACCTCAACTAAAAATACATTTACAATTTGAGACATCTGCATGAGAAAGACATTATTAACTTTATATGCTTAAATACATTGATGTTTACTCCTCTGAGGAGTAAACATTACAAGTTTATATGTCTCTATAAAGTTTATAAATTCTGTTTACATGGTCATGAAAAAACTTTTTACTTCTGACACTACTTTTAAGTATTTTACGCTAACACGTCATGCAGGTAAATTTCAGTTGATGAGACTTTTATGGAAAGAGTAGAAGTTAATAATACGTCTAACGTTACTTAGGCTTTTGTGGTCGTCTTCCACCATACAAGTGTTCAATTTTCTTTTCTTATTGGTCTGGCATTAAACTTCATGAAGTAAGCACCAAGACGTGGTGACTCAGCTCTTAGCTTCGTATAATTAGTAACACTAAATTTGGAAATATTTCATAAGATGGCTTAACGGCTACACCAGAAACCAGAGACCAGAGCTCAGACAGCTAACCTAGCCTTACACAGCGAGGGAGGGAAGAGGGCACACAACAAACTCTCTCTCTGTGGATTTATGCTGTCCTAACTTACCTTATACACTACTGTTTTGTGGATGTAAGGTTACAAATAACAGGTCTTTGTTCCATATGATTAGATGGATACGGCTCAATGTCAGCAGGCTGGTTGCTGGAAAATGTTAAGAGATTAAAAAGCCCGACTCGCCCTCTAAAACTCCGAGCGCTACAAACTTTGGCGCGTTTAGGACCAAAGACGTCACTAGAAGCAAGAAACAATAATATCAATTTTTTTTTCAAAATAAAAGCCTCAACGCGTCGCTTCAGAAAGCTGTTTTTTACTCAGAACACATGTAATATATTTTATGTCACACGTTTTCATTTATATGTGTCGTGACAACGTAATAAAAGCGTTAAAGAAGCATTCAGAATCACTCCCACTATAATCCCGTCATTAGAGTGTGTCGGCCATTTGGTATTTTTTTTCCGAATTCTCAATGATAAACCTCAGTCGCTGTAAGGTCATTCTCCTATCAGTGCACTATAAAACAAACTATATGTAGTGAACGACTACATAGTAGTCATTTCGAACATAGTCTAAAGTAACAAACTAAACCAATAAACAGCAGTCAATCAGTGACTCTTATTCTGAAAAAAACACTGCACTGCTAAGAGGACGGCGAATAGTATAAGTATAAACTCCCAGAAATTACAGTACAGAGAATATTGTGACTGCTAATAGGTTTTTATGCTTATAAGATTTTTTATATTTTATTGTTTTTTTTTATAGTTTCACAGAGTTATTAATTGCCTGGAGCATGTGCTCTATTATTAGGAGCTGTAAAATGAGACAGGGGCGTGACATCACACGTTGCTATGGCTACAGGAGAATAGTTCCGTACACAGAAGTGGTTTAGGAACAATTTTCCTTTCGAGTTTAAAATCAGTCTCTCAGAGCAACATTTTGATTTAAAGATTACGAGTCTAACATGCTGATGAGTCAGAGAAACCGAGCACAGTGCCGGGAGTTCACCGGACCAACACCTCATTCAGTGGCAGTGGTGAGCTCATTTTATCTCCTCTCAGAGGTTCTCGCTACAGGAGCTGGTCAGCAAGACTGATGTGTGTTGTGCGAATCTCTGTTGAATTTGTACAGATAAACTCCACAGCTGTGAGGTTGCAGAACAGACAGCATGTCAGGGGTGAATGACACTAACAACGTAAAAAAAATGCCTTAAATTAAATCTGTTCTGCACTTTTTACACTTTGAGAGATTTGATTTTAGTTTTGTGGCCTCTGCTGTACAGTAAACCAAAGTTTCCCAGCACGGTCATCAGTGACTCCCAGACATTTACATTACCAAGCCTTTACAGAGAAAAGGAAATTTGTGAATCAAACAACGAAACTGTTGGTATTCCCAGAACAATCGCCTGACCACCCCAGAGTCCAGACCTTAACATCATTAAATCTGTTTGGGATTACTAGGATTATGAGAATAGAAAATTCAACCAACTTCTAAGACTGAACTTTGGAGGTGTGGAAAAATATCACTGCAGATTTTAAATTGAAAGCAAGCCCCATGAAAAGAATTGGCACACTAAATTCTGAAAATTTCATATAATATTTAGTTGTTGATGCTTCTGTATAATTATTTGTAAAATATATGTTTCTGTTTTTTTCCCTGAAGTTTAAAAAACAAATAACTTGTATTTATTGCTGTTTTAACTGGAAATTGGTCTCTGACTTTTGCACATTGCTGTATAACAATATATGTTTTTTGCATAGGAGGGGAATATGGTGCCAATACTACTTCAGTTATTTGTTGGTGTGAGGTCTTCATTCAGTATTTACTTTTTTTTTAGAGGGCACGATATCCATCATCCAGACCCCCTGATTACCTTATCTTGGAGCGGAGGAAACAGGAGACCATGCGGGACAAGGTGCTGGAGTTTACCAAAGACCAAAGTGCCTGTGACCTGAGAATGCGCTGGGAAAGAAACACTGAACGGCGGATGGTGTCGGCCACTATAGAGAGGCGTGTCCAGGAGGCCATGGGACAGTATCAGATGAGCATTGATGAAAGGAGAGAAAGGTTTTTAACTGATTTAATTTTTACATTGGGCAAAACAGTGGTCACCAACCCTGCTACTGGAGATCTACCTTCCTGCGGACTTTAGGTCTAACCCTAATCAGCCCCACCTGATCAACCCAATTACTGCCTTCAGATGCCCTTGATTTGCTGAATGAGGTTTGTCAGATTTGGGTTGGAGGTGAACAGTACAGGAAGGTAGATCTTTAAGAGGAGGGTTGGTGACAACTGGGGTAGAATGAGCTACACTTCAGTTATGACATTTTTAGCACTTGATCACTCTCTCTGGCTTTCTTTTCAGTTGTCTTTCTCTCACTTATTTCCCTCTTTTTACAGGCTACGTGAGATGCTGGAATCTGAGGAGAGAGAATTTCTGAGAGAGCAAGAAGAAAAGAAAGAGACAGTGCTTGAGAGGCAAACTAAAATGAGAGAGAGAGCAAAGTATCTGCAGGAGAAAAGGGAGAGCGAGAGACAGAAAACTTGTTGCTGATAAGCTCGATCAGCTGTTCAGGTACAAACATTTTCTTCATTGCCAAAACCCTTATGCTTCCAAAGCAACTCTGCTTGTGTGCTCTGAAATTCTGTAAAGCTATATAAAGATATCACAATGTTTTGTATATATACTATCGTTCAAAAGTTAGAATTCACTAGCCATATTAACAATTTTGTTACTTCATATACAATAATGACATACATGATGTGGGTTTAAATATTACAAATTATTTGCCAAAAGGTATTTTTAGATGTTTTCCTTAATAATTCAAGAATTCTGTGAACAAGAAATTTTTAAATGATAAGCAATATACTGTCTTTATCTATTTACATTCATTTTTTGACAAGTTAGTCACCTTGAGATTTGATCTACACTTGTGAAATACGTGAAAATCGTGAAAATATATTATTATTGTATTATGATTTATAACTTACTTTTTAATACTGCACAGCTTTCTTAGTCATTTTAGATCTTCTACAGCTCATCATTCTGGACACATCTAAAATGTTTATTTACAGCTTCTTTGTGTTTTTAATAATTTTTGCAGTAGATGTACAATACTATACAATACTATGTCTGCTTGTTTTGGACTTTTCTCTGCTGAGCTTTGTATATTTGTTCTTCAATAACTTTGATGTAATATATTTCTATGACGGAAATGTGTCTGTTTCACAAAACTGGAAACAAACTGGTTTTTCATCTTTGTATGTGAGCAAACAAGTCAACATTTATAAAAGTATTTTTAATGTGTTTAAATGCTATTTTTATTGTGGCAGTTGTACATGATTGTTTTTTCACAGTGGGTGGTTGAGCTGCTAGAGAGCACTGAGGGGTGAAAGACCCCTCACCCCTTTTTGCCCCTCATTGTTAGCTAGCAGCTCAACACAGAATTACAACACATCACACACAGAGAGACATCAGTTGTCCCAAATAATCTAAATAAAAGGGAAAAAATATTTGATTATATTGATGAAAAATATACAAGCTGGTTTCCATTCCACTGGCAGAATGGCTACTAGGGGCCCTGCAGAAAGAGGCTACTTACTTACTGGAGCTGCACAGGACTAGTGTATTAGAATCATTTCATACATTTATCTGCAATCAGATTGGATTTAAATTATTGAAACCATTCATTCCAAACTTTTAAACAGTGATTTCAAACTTTCGAAAGGTAATCTATACCCCTGTTATGGCATTTACCTTCTGGAATATCGACATAAGAGATCTCCGGAATGTTCCACCCGCTTGTGTTTCAGAGAACAGTGTGAGGAGCTGCGGGCTGCTCAGACACATCGCAGACAGGATGAGGTCTGCAGGGAGCGAGCTGCACAGATCCGTTCACGGGAGGAAGAGCGCCGGCTGCATCAGGGTGAAGAAATGCTCTTTGCCCAGCTGTGGGAGAGTGACCGGCTAGCCAAAGAGGAGCGTGAGAACCAGCAGGCCCAGCGTCAGCGAGAAAGCAACTTTCAGACGCTGGCTTTCCTGCAGGCTCAGATGGAGGCTGCAGAGCAGCAGAGACTGCAGGCCAAACAGCTCAAAGAAGAAGAGGCCCAGTTACTGGTGAAAATTTTATATAATGAGCAAATTTGGCTCTATATGCCAATACTAACATAATGCTATACTTTGAATAATAATAGTATACATACATTGTCTGAATAATGGACGGTACAAAGTGTGGACGCACCTAACTGAATATCTGTTTTTCATATGGGTAATACCTCTGCCCTTGCCAGGCCCAAATACCGCTATACTAACAAGAGTCTTTGGGCAAGACTCCTAACACTATATTTGCCTACCTCTGTAACATTATTAAAATGTAAGTTGTTTTGGATAAGAGTGTCTGCCAAAGGCATGAATGTAAATGCATATGTATGAATTTATTTGAATTTATAACCTCATATCTCTAAAACAGTAACATTAAAGGAACATTTTAAACATTTTAAACTTTCAGTACAAATTAATGAAAACCTGTTTCATGTTAGACCATTTCTACTTCCCCATTCATCATAAAATTCTGACATAGTTTAAACTGGCATTTTCAAATTATGTAAAAACAACGAAAAGATTTTTCAAAAAGATTTATTTTTAACAAAAGTTTTTTTCCAACTGCAACGGTATGTGGATCTTCTTCAAGTGTGTTGGAGAAGCATCCTAGGTGGCGTCCCATGAAGCTGCTTGTGAAAATGCCAAGAGTTTAAAAAGCTGTATAAAGACATTCTTCTACTTGGAAGAATCTATATTTTTTAATATTTAATGTTTATATAATTTATATAATATTTTTAGAATTGTAAAAATTATAAACATATAATTTTGTTCAACGCTTTTTTCATCTGTGTTTTGATATATTCACTATCGCAATAAATGACAACCCTTGTATGAGGGTTGTGTCCAAACTTTTGACTGCTGCTGTACCTGGTTCCTCTGTATTTTCTGAAGCTGTGCTTGTGTGTTGTGTTGTTCAGCGAGAACAGAGGGAGATGCTGCGTCTGGAGGAACAGCGGGGGCACATGCAGAAGCTCCAGAGCCAGCAAAGCCGGCGCAGGCAGCTGGATCTCTCCCTGCGGCTAAAGATGAAACGAGTGGCGCAGGAGCAGCAGGATGAGCTGGCGTTGGATATGAGCATTCTGGAGCAGTTGCTGACACACGAGAGGGATGAGAAAAAGGAAGAAGCTCTCAGAAAGGTAAGATTTAATTACGCCACACTAAAGCAAAGAGGAACTGTATATGAGAAGAGTCATGGTAAGAGGATGTGTGCAGTTTTCATTTCAGCCATACAGTGTGTGGTTGTGGTATTGAAATCTTTACAAGTGAACAGAAAATATATAAACTATATGCCAAAAGTTTGGAAACAGTGCCAATGCCAACAAAAAATAAACATGAACAAAAAAATAAACGTGATACTTTCTCAGACTTTTATTGCAACTCGAGTAATAAACCCACTTGTCACATTCAGATATGAATTAGGTGTATTAAGTTATTAAATATATAATAATAAATATACAAAAACTGGTTGCTGTCTGGTTAATACCTTAGAGCCCATTTGTCAAACACAATTTTATCCGGGCCATGGAATTATTTAAATTTTCTATTAATATTGGCCTGTTTCATGATGCTCTGCACTACAATCCCCAGCATGCACTGCAACGAAATGTGCGCTTTCACCCCCTTCCCAACAATAATCTATTGGAAGCTAGTCATATCACATTAACACATTTCACATTAGCTGCGTTTCAGCTACAGTTCAACCAATATAAACACACAGAAATTGATGGATAGGTGTCTGTCAACCTCCTGAGGACATTTAAAGAGCTGTAGCTAATGTGTGTGTGTGTGTGTGAATTTATATAAAATACTTGAATACTTCACTAACTATGTGACTGCAAATCAATTAAATATTTTAGAAAAACTCCTTTGGTCTATCCTTTGGTAAATGTGTGATGTGTGATGTTTTGGTTATGTAAAACTGTATGTAATTGTAAATTACATTTGAATCTTTTAAAAAAATCACTTACTTCCATACTTTTGGCCTGTAGCGTGTTAAGGCTCATGTTAGTGAAACATTTCTATTAGCTGGAACTACGTGAGGAGCAGCAGAAGTATCGTCAGTACCTGGCCGAGCAGCTGAAGGAGCAGAGACGTCAGGAGGCAGAGACAGAGAAGCTGATCGAAGCGGAGCTCCAGCAAACCTGGAGCCGCAGAGTGCAACAATGGCGTCTGGAAAAAGAAGCCAGAGATCGGCTCATGAAAGATGTACTGGACATTCGCCGCTTACAAATCCAGGAAAAATGTAAGGAAGAAGCTAAATGTTCAGCACTTAAACAGTGTTCAGTACTTGAGAGGGAAAACATCTTGCTCTGCTGTAGTGGATTTGAAAATAGTGAAGATTATCTGTAGGTTCAAGGAACTGACGAGGAAAAAATGTAGAACTAAACGAATTAGAGAAAGTGACTGTAGGAGCATATACAAGTAGGACAGTTAAAAACTACTGCCTGTCTACATAGTGGCTTCATACGCTTTCATCAAGGGGGTATACCCTTTTGGTTTTTAGCTGCAAAGCACCTCATAGACATAGGCTGAAGATTCTCCACAAGGGGCAGCTATCAGCACTCAAGTAGCTTTGGGTGCTCTAGTAAATAACAGTTACTTTTAATACAAAATGTGTTAAAATGGATTAAAATATGACACAAAATAGGTAAAACGGGTAACAAAGCAGATTAAAGAGTCTTGACAATTAACACATCATTTCTGAGAATGTACACGTTTTCTGTTTATTAAAGTGTTTAGTATTTCTTGGAAAGTTTTAAAGATACATTTTTTCTTTCTTTTATCTTTCTTTTTTCTTTCTTTCTTTGTTTTTATTCAGTGGAGCGTAATGCTGAGAAACAGGCTGAACTTGCTGAGGAGAGAGAGGAGCTGAATAGAGTCATCCAGGAAAACAAGCTGTTGGATGAACAGGAAAAAACTTGGTTGGTTTCAGGCAGGAATATCTATCTATCTATCTATCTATCTATCCATCCATCCATCCATCCATCCATCCATCTATCTAACCTGAGATTACTAATATAATGTCCTGCTCTTCTGCAGTCTCAGGGAAGCCTGTCAGGAATACCAGGCTGATCTGCTGGCTCAGATGTTGCACCAGCAGCAGCTACGTGAAGCGGAGAAGGCTGAAAAAGAGCAGGAGTTCCAGAGGGGCTTGATCTACCAGGAGAAGTACAATCAGAAGATACAGGACATCCTGTCCAGGCCTGTCTCCAACACTACAGCAGTTCACCCCTTCAGGAGAAGAGATCGACCCACCTCCAGCTAAACCTGGCATAAGCTAATTGCCTAACAATGCTAACAGTACATGATTAGAACTCAATACTCAAATGCCCCTATGAAAAAAAAAGAAATTAAATAAAGTATACTTGGTCACCTCTTGCATCTTCAGTGTAATGATTAATAATTTCCTTAAGAAAAATTGTTTATGTGAGCTCAAATGAGGAATTCTTAAAACTGGAAGTCTTATGCTGTTGGGGAAAGTTATTGTTTATTGTACATCTTAAAATCGCAAGATCTGCGAAACTAATTTTAAAGATTTTCATGCAGGGCACAAGGTTATTTTGGGTGATGATCAAGCTGTATTTACTTTTGGCTTAGGTTGCAGTCTGTTCATGTACCTATATTTGCTAAACTTGCTTGACTTGACTGCCTGGATTTTGTTGGGGTCAAATTGAATACTCAGCCAAATAAGTGAAATCTTACATAACAAAGGTTCTTCTTACTCAACCAGTGATGAATATGGCACTTAAATCAAGCTTAAGTCATGTTTTCCATAGAGACCTTTATGCTTGCTCACGTTAATCTCTGTGCTGTGTAACTGTTGCTGTGACACAGGTACGCCCCTCCCCCATGGCGCACGCTCATGAAGGAACAGTAAGACAATGTGTCTCTCTTCGATTTGTCTTTAGCATGCTATAATTAAATACATTTGACAGCATTGACATGGAGAAGATTATGTTTGGTGGTCTGACTTCAGGTAAATCCTGAAAGATGAACCACAGGATTGCAGTATTTGATGTAATAAATGGACAGTAAGCTTCTGTCCAATAGCCTTCACGCTCAAATGATTACCACATGTGTTACACCTTATGTTTGTACAGGTTTGACTATTCCATGACTGCTGAAGCATGTTAAAGAGCTCAACACCCCATACCTGATGAAGGAGTGGTTTGGGAGTGGAGCAATTTGCCTGATGTCATTTCTGTCTTCTTCCATTTTGCCACTTAGGCTGTTACTCAAGTCTACAGTAGTTAGTTCACTCCCAGCCTGGGGTTCGTAACACTGTCATCTTAGTGCTCCATTTTACTGCTTTTAAAAAATGACTTGAGAATAGAGAAATATGCTGAAGAGCTTTTCAGCCCTGTGATTCAGAGCATTTGTTTTGTGGATACTGCTACAATCTTGAGTTAAAAGGCAAAGAGAAGATGAAGGCCGAGCCTGAGCTTTATGTCAAGGTAAAACAGTCTTTACTAATCTGAGTAGACTCTATTCTACTTTTGTTTTCATTTCTTGGCATGGTATGTGAGATTAAGGTTGGTATATTCTGCTAATAACGCATGTATGTGTGTCTAATGTGAGGCCACCACATTAGCTAGACTGTGATTTGTATTGTTGAAGCAAATGTGCACGTCACTGTGGCACCTACAGCACGGAAAATAAGGAGATTTTGACAAGCTTGTGTTACACCCAGTAACTCACACATGCCCTCTTTTCTCTCTGCGTGCTGCAGATAACAGGTCAACAGAGCCCATGAACCTTGCTGAGATCATTCATTGTTTAATAAAACAAATATAAGACAAACAGGCCTACAATAGCGTACAATACACCTTAATTCTGGTGTGTAAATCATACAACATACAGAACATACTGAAGTTATATTTACTTAGTTGCTGGATTTGCATTTTTGAGTATTTTAAATTTTGCCTGCACTCAAGTTTGCAAAGGAAGGAATCAGCTTTCTTGTCAGTTCCAGTTAATTAATTCATCTTTTTTACCACGTCATTCAAATTCCATTCCATCTTTCTGCTTTTAGTCTCATTCTGATGTGGTGGTTCTGCACCTGGTCTACTTTGCTGTTGCTCTTATGTCTCACATTTAAATTTTAGATCAAAGTATGTTAAGGAGATGGTTCTGTGCTGATGTATGCTGGAGTACTAAGAATTCCACTGCAGCTCTATACAGAACTTGGAACTTGAGGAGTTTTCAGACAAGATAGTTTTACGCTCATTGATTTTCCTTTTGTATGACTCATTATTTGATTAAAGTAACAATACTGAAACTTTACAATACTGAGAATGGTTTCAGCTATTTTAAACACCTCTGCAATGAATAGTTCATTAACTCTTACAGTTTGCAGTGGAGAACTTCACTCACCTCTTACATCAGACTGTTTGTGTATGATATGTTGTCTGGTTTAATGTGTAGCTGAATGTTTTCACAGTGAAACAAATAACCTTCAGGGGAAAAAATTAAATATAGCCCATAATTTCCATATACTAATCTGGAAAAAAAAATGATGAGGCCTCTCATCTTTGCATTTACATTTATTAGAAAAAGGGAAAAAAATGCTACATTTTTAAGTTATATATTAAAATTGAATTCCACAATTGTTTTATTTTTCAAATATCTGCATAACTGAATCATTAAGATATAAAAAAAGTCATTAAGAGTGGTTGGATGTGAAATGCTTAATTCTAGAAAAACTTAGTCAGAATTGTTCACAGTGGTAGTGATAGGAACCAGACGTCTGAGGTGTTTAATGTCTCTAAAAGCTCCCTCACATTAAAAAAATGGTTACGTACAGCCTGCCACATACCTCAAGTATTGCAACATGCAGGGTGTTCTAAGAAATAAAAATATGCAAAGAAAAGGATTTTTTTCAGATTTACCACTATTTTATCAACATTACATATGAAAATTCAGAAGAAACTTATAAGTTCACTGGTCATTGTGGATAGGAAATAAAATGGCTTTAATTGCGTTGTTAACATCATGACCCCTGGTTCCTATCACCACCACTGTAAAGAAAATCTGAGTTGGCAAGTTTCTCTACAATGCACTATTTCAATTCAACTGAATGACCTTGTTTACATCCCAACAACTGAATTATGCAGATATTTCAAAACATTAGTGGAAACCTCCTGTAAGATGTCAATAATTCCCATGTTTACACTTTTAGCATATGGAACCAATATACTGATGCTTTTTGTTTTGTATGAGAACATACCTGATTCGCCTTTTAACCAATTACCAAACCTTGAACTGAGTATACAATGATACTCAAGAACCAGGAATGAAAAACACTGGCCTACTACACTCTTTAAAAAGATAGTTCTTCAAGAGTTTTTAGTAAAGGCAATGTTTCTGTTAGAACCATGAGTTCTATATAGAACAATTGCACACTTAAATTTTTTTGCATAGTGAAATTATCCTTCCGACTGATAGAGAATGTGAATCTATCTAGAAACTTGAACTTTGAAAATGGTTCTATATATCACCAAAAGGGTTCTGCTATTATTACAAGCTTGACCCTATTTGGTGCTATCTATGTAGAACCATATACATCTCATTCTCCATCAATCTGAAAAAACATTTTACCATGTAAAGAACCATTTAAGCACGAATGGTTCTATATAGAACGTATGGTTCCAAATAGAACTATTTCCTTTATTAAAGAACCCTTGAAGAGTCATCTTTTTATAATTGTGTACATAAAACCTGCAGAGTTTCTCTAGTTAAGCTCTTCAGTGTGGTCATTATACCGTGATGCAGTGCCCTGACTGACCTGCAGATGTCGCTCTCGGACCTGCAGTCCGCAGCCTCTGTCAGGTGAAGCCGTTGAGCTTTGGCTCTCACGCACTGTGGTGGAGTCAATGGATACGGAAAGGAAACACAGCAACTTAAATTAGCTCTCCTCTCCACTACTTTTCCCAGTATTTTTTATCGGTCTCTTTTAACTGTTTGTAAGGTCCAGAGACAAAACATACTTGCTTTGTTCCATACAGAGTAGTAGAAAAGGTGCAGGTGATCAGGGGATTTCTGAACTTATCAAACGTAATGGAGAGGGATAGACACCTGCCGTGAAGAGGAGGCAAGGGTCAGTCAGCCAGCGGCTAAGCGGGCTAGCGCAGTCTCACTATCTCTCTCCGTGCGAGTTCAAAAGTACAAACTCGGGACTGTTAACCGCTACCAGGACGTAGGACTCAAGGAATGGTGACGGGACATGTTTTACCTGGATTATAAAACTTGATGGAAATCTTATTTCCTTCATTCTCAAGCGGCAAGGAAGCTATAAACTCGGCGTGCTAATGTTGTAGTTCTCCAGGGACCATGTCAGTGAACGAGCTGTACACTAAGGTGAGTTTCTCTGTTAGCTGTGTGTTTTCATGTCTTTTTCTTAGATATTTACTCTATACATACTACAGATATTTGTGTATTTTCACTACTAAAAAAACAAGAACCAAACATCATCCTTTCTGTTTGTTTCCAAGTTTCACTGGACGTTAACCTTCGCTGCTTAAAACCACAACAGTAGGTTAGCTAGCCCATGTTTATAGCCACTGACCAGTGACTTAAGGCTAATTAGTAACTGATGTACCACATACGTTAGAAAATGGTTCCCGAAGCGTCTCTATGAGTTCTCTGTGCTCTTTATGTAGCTCACTAGCTGAAACTTCCTACTAGAGCAGTCACTTCCATACGGACAGGTACACAGGTAACACAGGTGAGGTAGGGTAGTTTCGGTCGGCCGGTAGTTTCGGTGCATCACCACAGACACTCTGTATGTATGTGAGAAATGTATGTGAGCGGCTGTTTTGTTGAGAATAGTCAGCTATATTCATTTTAGAGATGTGCTGCACTATTATCACCTTTTCACCTACACACAAACCATTTAATCACACTGTAAGCTGGAGCTGAGTTATTGTCACTGTGGATGAACTGGAGGCGCTGCTGTGTATTGATATCCAGGGCACATCTTCTCTTATGCTGCCCATTCATTTTCAGACGTTGTAACAATGAACTATCATGGACATTTTAAAGGGCCTGTATCCTACATTTCTCTTCAGCTCTTTATTTTGTCCTCTCTGATGTCCACCTATGATGAACAGTCATAATTAATTTCACATGACCTCCCTTTGTCCCTTCAAAGTAAACAGACTGTTTGTGTTACTGCTCCTTTCATACTGATATGTAAACGATCTATGTTCTGATTGGCTGACCTGTATTGTGGCTCATTCAAAAAGCAGTCCAGGCTGAAACTGTCCTTATAAGGTCAGCGTGGACAGGTGCCTAAACTGGTGTAGGCTGAATATGATATTTACTGGTTGACTGGTTTACTGGTTTGCTATTTAATTTTGTGACATCCCAGAAGCAACACAATCAAAACAGACTGTTTTTCTGAAGCCAAGTATCCATATATGGACTTGCTGTGAATGGTACATTTTGAAGCTTTGGCAGTGTTTACACCACATCAAACCACATCAGGCTCTGTCATTAAAAATAAAAGAAAAAAAAAGTAAGGATTAGTTTTTTTGTTTTTGTTTTTTTCTTGATATGGGACCTTTCAAATTCTGTGTATGGTGCTGCCACGATTCAGTCAACTTATATAACTTTAGTGGAAAAACATGGGCGCCTCACTGCTGAATGAACTTGCTTTGAATTCCCAAACGCTGAGTGAAGCTTGTCACTTTCTATTCCGTGCCTCATTGTTTCCTTTATTGGTGCGCTGAATAATAGAGGATATTTAAAAATCACACTGTACATTAATCAGCCATTCCCCCTTTCAGATTTGTTGTCTCCTTTTTTTTCTGACGTATCAGGACAAGAAAAAAAAATCTTTGCAGTGCTGCAATATTTCAGTGTTGTGAAAATTATTTCAGGGATTGAAAACAGGCCTGACTGGCTCATGTTGTTAGGCTACTAATCCTACACATGACTCAATCCTTTATACATTCTTTTGATTGTTTAACGCTCCAGATAGATTAGTCAGTTCTATCTGGATTTTAACAGAACATTATGGAAGTAATGGATTTGTTGGGCTTGTATTTACTGTATAACGACTCTCTGTAACTTAGAGTTTGCTGTTAAGAGTGCTTAATGGGGACGCCTGAGCTAAGCAAAATAGATAGTAGAGCTGAAAAGTAAACGTATTGTAATCTATATTTTGGCCTGTATATGTACTTAACTAAAAGGCTGCAGCTGAACCGTTTTTATTTAGTGATGAGACTGAATCAAAACTAAGAATTTCTAGTTACAAATCACTGTTTCAATCTATTGAGTGATCTGTTGAGTCTCATGTGTGCTGTAGTAATGAAGTAATCACAAAGCTGTTGAATGCTTGTGAGGTCTTTAATACAACATATTGTATTGCATCGAATTGTAAAACAGCCTATCATATTGCATCATAGCCTATCGTATTGTGAGCAGCATTCCATCTATTTTTACTGTATCCAAA